AAGTTGAAGAAGATGGCAACTGGGTGATTTCAGTCAAGGACAGGGAGGTATCTAGGAAGATTTCATTGGTTGTATGACAAATAATCTGAGTGGTTGCCTGTCACTGTCAATTGATGATGTATTTACTGTCTTTGTTTCAGGCTCAAATCTTCAACAAAGATGGGCGAGGCAGGGCAGCCGTATCGCGTGTTGTCAACAGATATTATACCGAGAAGAATGTCCGTTGCCGAAGCTGTGATAAAATTGGACATCTTTCCAAAAACTGCCCTGAACCCAAAGTCAGTGCTTCTTTTTTGGGGGCAAAATGTACATTTGTCGAGAACATGTGCACAACTGCTTAAAAAAATTTTTTTTGACTCCACAGAAGCCCGTTTGCTTCCTTTGTGGCAATTCTTGTCACAAGACCACTGAGTGCCCCCATAAGCACTGCAACAACTGCGGCCTTCCAGGTCACATGTACCGTTCCTGCAATGAGAGGCCTTACTACCACAAACAGTGCCACCGCTGCGGTATGACGGGCCACTTCTTTGATGTGAGTACAGCTTCCTGTTTTGACAGGAAACAACATTACCAATTGAGTATCGAGACTGGGCAAACAAGGCGAGGGCTCGAGCCGCTCGCAGCGGCCCACCCCAACTCGATGCAGCCTAAGAGTAGTTGGATGCCATGTGAATCAGGTCCACCTTGTAAGGATTGAAATCACATACAGCCAGAGATGTAAAAACTAAAGGAACTCAGTAGTTGACACCTACACGCGAGTTACCCGTCAGGGTTGAATGGAATCTGCAATGGTCAGCACTGGGTTGTCGATGCACTTTGCTCGTAGTACTCAAATGTGCAAGTCCATTATTGCAAATTAAGACGTAGCTTTAAGAGACTTTGAGACACAATGGTTGAAAACAAGGAAGAGAGAGAGATGACGACCAACTTCTCTATTCCTGCTTTGCCACCCAGTGTAGAAAGTAAGTTCAATGCGGGCGGATGACACTTGGCGTGTGAAATGTTCATCTTATTCTATGCTGCAGGCTGCTAAAAAGTCGATGGCAGTAGTTTCGATGTTTGACAGCCCTAATTTGAACCATGCAAACGTTTTTTACCCGGCCTCTTAAAAGAATGGAAATCGCGAATCGTTTGGAACCAGAATCAAAGTGAGGAACCGCAATCGGCTCTGGAATCATTCAAATTCAAACAATGCCCAATCCTATTGAAGAGAATAATAAAAACACCGCACTCTCAAACCACTAAGCGATTCACAATTAATTTGGCTTTGTGCATGTTCTGCTCTCTCAATTGCAAATAAGGTCATCGTAAATGGTTGGAAATTAAAACGTGGGTTTTGAAAATCCAATTCGTCGATTAACCGAAAAAATAATCATCGGTTGCAGCCTGACGGCAGTCAAATATTCACTTTTGGTGACCGTTGGCAAGTGTCCTCACATTTGCTCTCAGAGTAATAATGACTCAAAGGGGGTCAGCACACGCTGCTGTTCACATTAATTGATACACTTGAGTAATTACAGCTTAGTTATGTCTCTGCCATGCTGCATATACGTGTGTGTGTGTGTGTGTGTGTGTGTGTGTGTGTGTGTGTGTGTGTGTGTGTGTGTGTGTGTGTTTGCTCACACTGAAGGGTGAATCTAATGAGCATCAATGACAATTATCCCACCGCAACATCCATTACCGTGCCCACCGGCACTATGGCGGCCGTAGAGCTGGAAAATGCCGCGCGTATGTAAGCAGCCAGCGTGTGTCTCGATGTGCCTCACTTTCTTTTTTTGCACTCCGTCAGTCAGTCATGTACTGTGCCCTGCGTAATGGATGAGTAACCAGGCGAACACCAGAGGGAGACCAGCACGCGGGTTACACCCCGCACCCGCCCCTTTTTCCCTCTTTCAGACCGTTTTTTCACCCACTACACCAGATTTTCCATTTTCTGTGTGTGAAAAGTTGAGTGGAAATTGTAATTAGTTTTCTTGGGTGGTAAAACTTTATTTCTTGGACTCAAAGCGTGTGGGTTTGTGTGTCTGTGAGCATGCACGCTTGTGTTAGCGCAGAAGATGGCTTTGTGCGTGTGCATGCATTTGTGTTTGTGGAGAAGCGAGAGTCAGGTCTCTGTCCCTTGGGCCTTTCTGTGTCTCTCATTAAAGACAGACGGTTGACGGAGCGCAAGTGTGTCGCTCGCCTCGCCTGTCGCCCTCGACAACAACACGCCACCCTGGCGGTCTGGAGGGAGGAACAAACGTGGGGCGTGTGTGTGTTGGGGGGGTGTCGGGAGGTTAAAAGAACGCTTGATGAGATGGCGAACGACACAGCTGTTGAAATTCACATTTATCTTTGTGTTTATGTCTGTAAAAAAAGTCCGGCTGCTTTAATCGGTGCGGCCACAATCTGACCAGTTTTAATTTGGCAGTTTTGTTTTTACTTTGGATCGACCCTGTCGCTGTGGAATTCATTCTTCATGGTCGTTGTGTAGAACAACTCTCAGTATGATGCGGTACAAGTTATTCACCACCCCTCACTACAACCGCAATGATAAGCGTCATGTTAAATGAATATCTTTACGGCACAATGGAGCATTATCATCTTTATCTAGCTCTTGTATTCCATCTCATGATGCGCAAGTGGTTATAATGTTATGTCTGGTAAATCTACCTTTCTTCCTCACAGTAGCTTCGTACTCGCAGGGTGTGTAAGTAGATAAACCTTATTGCCGGCGGCAACTGCGGCATTTTCAATTTCCCAGTGGGAAGCGGCGGCATTTGAGAGAGGATGTCGGAATGCGACGGGAACAGCGTGCCAAAGCCCCGGAGATAATGCTTTAACCACACCAGGACCGAGCGACAAGACAAGGCCGACTGTCGAGAGACTCAGTCATTGGTGGCGGAGATACGGCTGAGGAACACACTGTTTTAAAACAGACCTTTTTTTTTACCCCCCCCCCCCTCACTATGGCACGACTTACTACACTTACAAAATGTATCCATCTGCTTTCTAAAGTCTTTTCACTGTTTATGAATTTAATCAACATACTGTAACTCTGTACCTTTTCTCCTCCCTACAGGCATGTCCCGAGATCTGGAGACAGTACCACATCTCGGTGAGTGTCATACAGTAGAATAAAACATACAACTGTCCATGATGATGTGAGATGCTAGATAAGCCACTGCTATCAGTACCCTGGTGTCAACATTTTGCAAAAAAACACACTTGAAATCTCCCACGTGGCGAAATATGTTGGTTTAAATAAACTGAGGTTGAACCTTTTGGCCATCGTTCCAAAAATACATGTTGGGCACAAACACAGAACTGCTCATCACCAAAGGAAAGCCATGCATACAAGGAATTATTATGCTTTCTCTTCAACTGGAACTGAGTCCTTTGTCAAGGAGGAGGCAACTTTGATTAGTTCCAAATAGCAGTCAGTGTTAGCGCAAAACCTTCAGGATACTGCTGGAAAAAAAAGTAATCATAATCATATCTATAATCATATTAATGTCAGGAAAAGCCTACTCGCAGCTGAAATTTATTTGGGGTTAATCTGGGGCAATTGGGGCGTGCGTTGGCTCCCATTTCACGTGAGTTTGAATGTGATCGGTGAACTCTGAACACAGTCACATCCTCAGTTGTGCAACCACAACTTAACTTCTCAAAAAGAGTTCTCCCTTTTTCCCCGTTTAAGTAATAATACAGATTACAAGTCACATTAACTGTGGTAAAAGTTTTGCATGTGTCATTATTTTACACCAAAACTTGGCATTGGGGGGGGGGGTCTAGACCCTCTATACGTCTGTCTCTCTCACTTTTTCTTCATTTTTCTGCACACTACCAGGTTGCGATTGTCCCACATGGAATACATCCAACCAAAAGTGTTCTATACAACATCTGTTGCTCCCCCCCCCCCCAGTAATACTTGGAGTCATCAGTGTTTTGCCTGAAATGCTACGTGCTAAACTTCAGCTTTACAGATGCCCTGTGTACATTTTAGTCAGTGAAAACGGTATCGCGTCATAATAAAGGCAATCACCGCCCCCTAGTGGCCACACATGTTTTATAATTTTTCCTGTTGGAGGTATGAATGACATTTACAGTGTTAAGTCAAGTGGAGGACAGACCTGGAGAGTAATTGGACCATACTGTATTATATTTAGGAGCCAAGCTATTTGAGGAAATGCGGTGTCTTAACTGCTAACTGCCTCATTGAGAGATTTTGCCTTTCGGCGTGGTTCTACGTGCATTGTGTGCGTGTGTGGGCTTGCGGTTTTATAGTATAAATGTTTTACAGTTAAAGCGGCAATGCCAACAGGAAGCCGTATTTGCCTGTGTGTGGGGGGGACTTTTCTGGAAAGAGAAGTACTTTGCTCCGCCGTGTGTGTGTGTGTGTGTGTGTGTGTGTGTGTGTGTGTGTGTGTGTGTGTGTGTGTAGGAGAGGGTGTGATATAGACCTCAGCCTAAGAGAAAAGAGCAGCTTGTTTGTCAATTAAAAGATGTGATAAAGCATGAAATGTGCTGCCAGCGCCACACGGGACAAACGAGTGAGAAAGAGGCAAGAAGAGTGTGTATTTGCATACATCTCTCTGCGTATCCTCTGTATGTGTGTGCAAGCTCAGGGAGGTCTGTCACTCTCCTCTGTGGAGATTAATTAGCAGGGGCTGTCTCGTGAAAAGGCAGCATCGTTACTGTCGGGGTAGCGCGACTGCAAAGTTCCTGGGGAGACGCCGGCTTGAAAAGACAGGATTCGAGTTTTAATGTTCATATTAGCTCGTTAGCGTGGGACGTCCTTTGCTCTCGGGCACTTTAATTCGAGACCACAAAGGCGAGGAAATGAGTGTCACCTCACAAGATGATGCAACCGTTGAACGTTTGTGTGGCGGCATGTTTTAACGGGTGGTGGATTATGACCCAGGTCTAATTGAAGTATTTAAGCCGTTTAAGCACAGGGAACAGAAGGTCGTTACACATCCAAACTGGCACGGTGCTACAGCGGGGTCTGCACAAAAAAAAAACAAAAAAAATAAAAAAAACAAAGCACTCGCACTTGCACACGCTCACACTCTGCATGCATACACGGGCACGGGGCTTCCTTCTGTTTAAGACAGCCTCATTTTATTCATGATGCCGCTTATGACCCTGAACTCCCCAATGTGAGAAGGTGTGTGTGTGTGTGTGTGTGTGTGTGTGTGTGTGTGTGTGTGTGTGTGTGTGTGTGTGTGTGTGTGTGTGTGAGCTTTGGGAGATGCGACTCTGTCACCTTCCGCTGGGCTCAGCCAGGTGTGAAAAGGCATTCTGTCAGACCTCCCCCTGCAACTGCTCCTTCCTGTGTGTTTGTGTGCATGTGCACGTGCGCTCGGTCCGTTTCTCTTCGCGAGTGTGTCTGTTGTCTGAGTGCACCTGGCCTTCAACTAACAAACTCCTCCAAACCGCACAGTTATGACCACAATGCCCTGGGGTGCTTACTGAGAACATACTGCGATGTCCTCATACATGCACTAAAATATCTTGAGCAGCTATTGGACTAAAAGTCCATCCTATATGTTCTCAGGCTTTATCTGCTTTGAAAACCTTGTGTAACATCACAAGATGTAGTCATTTCTTTCTATTTGCAGTGCACTGCCCATTTGCCTGTCTTTCTTTCTTGCAGTTCTCGTGTTTCGATAGGCTTTGAAAATGATCATTGCAAAATCCTTGAACATTACTTTTGTCGTCAGATTGCATGTGCCGCTACCACCGGCCATTTCTCGCGGACAAACCCAAGTTAAGTCCATCCATCCATCCATTTTCTGATCCGCTTTATCCTCACAAGGGTCGTGGGGCGTGCTGGAGCCTATCCCAGCCGTCTTTGGGCAGTAGGCAGGGGACACCGTGAACCGGTTGCCAGCCAATCACAGGGCACACAGAGACGAACAACCATCCGTGCTGACACTCACACCTAGGGACAATTTCGAGTGTTCAATCAGCCTGCCGTGCCAACCCACACAGGTCAAGTCCATCAGAGATATGGGTATATTATTGTTTATGCTCAAGATTTTCATGAAGTAAAAATTGGCTTTTTTTCCCTGATGATAATGAATTCACAGATCCTTTAAGAGACTAATAAAGGTTTGCTTATCTTATCTTTGTCTGGGTGTGCGTTGAGCTTGTCCTCAGATACACTCAGCGGTCATACAATCAACAATGGATTTAGAATATTTGGCCAGGGAGTTGGGGGGCACACAGAAAGTGATATAGCTGGGGGAGAAGGGGTGGAATTCCGGAACCCAGCATGTGGAGGGCCTCTGGGTAGAAGACAAATGTGAAGGATGGAGAAAGACTGGGAGCAGGTTGAAGGACTGGCCTTATGCACGGGAAAGAGGACAGCTTTTATACACGTAAAGATCATGCATCAATAAACAGGTGCGCACACACACACACACACACACACACACACACACACACACACACACACACGAACCTCAGTCACTTTCTTCCTTTTCTTCTGCCGGGAGCCTTTTGTGCACCGCCGCAACTGGGGTGTCCCTTGTGACTGCTGGGGGACAATCAAAGGCAATGCGGTACCTGTTCATCATTTTCCTGTGAAAAGGAAGTCTGTTTGCCCAATTCTTTTGTCGTAACTTTTTGAAAATGCGTTATGGAGTTCTTAACTCAGCTCAACATATATTTGGGTTTGGGAATAAAAGGTTAAAACAGCAGGGTCTCGGCGGCGCATCAGGAACAAGGTCAGCGCTGGAAGCAGAGAGCGTGAGCAACTCTCTGAGCATCGGATTTGTCTTGGCTTAGGTATGATGCAATGCTGTGTGTTTTTGTGTTTTGAGTCTTTAGTGGTCATGGTGCTCAAACATATGTAAAATACAATTTGGGACTACATTCTGAACGGTCAATATTTTTCATCAGCATAACATGCCTTGTTATACAACCATATGTTATATGAAATGCCATACCTGGGCAGCATGTGGCCAGCAGTGTTTCTCAAAGTTTGGTACTTGTAGTGGTATGTGGGCTCCCTCTATTGCTACCTGAAAGAATCACTGGCTAATTACAATTCAGTTGTATTTAACAATGCATTTGCGCATACATTTTTAGAAACTGTTTTTAAACTCTTCTGTTGATAAATTTGTAAGGTATGATTAATACATTTTAATGGACTCAGTTTTTCAGTACAGTGTTTTAATTTTCCTATGATAAGGTCATGTTCAAGTTATGCATAATATTATAGTAGCCATCATTAATATTACATTGTTCTTATGAATACTTGGGCCTACTACACTCCCATATTTAAATATTTGTCATGATGATACTTAGAGAGGGAAGTATTATTTTTAGGTGGTACTTGGTGTCAGAGATTGATAACCATTGGCCTAATGGTTCGCATTGTCTTACTGACAGTTACAGTACTGTACTGTGTAAGGTAGAGGGTTCGAATCTTGGCTCCAGCATTCTCCGTGGGTCTTGATTGATCTGTCCGTGCTTGCCTGGGTTTTTCTCGGTATTCCGGATTCCTCCCATTTTCGAAAAAGGATGGATGGCAAAAGCAATCTGATAAATCTTTTCTCTTTTAGTCAGCTGGGTTTGAGTCCCTTAAATGGCTGGAGATTAGAAACACTACATGTCCAGGAAATTAACAATGTAAATAGAGGTATTGGCAGTTTGACGTTGGTTGTTTTTACAAAACTCAATTAACTGTCAGACAGTGAAAAGAAAGTGCATTATTTTCTCCGTCTTTAATCAGCGCTCTCAAACTGCGCAGTGTTAGAGCGCACCCCAGTGGTTAAACTCGGAACTGCATTCCAATCCGAAGAATGAACTTCGCACTGGTGTTTCTTGAAAGTTGTGAATTGTAACCGCTGGATCCTTTAATTTAACTTTGACCATCTTCAAAGTCTCTGTGTTTAAGACATGTCCTATGTGTCTCCATAAGGAAGAATTTAATTGAGGGCTTGTCTCTATTTGTAAATGCCCTATTTTACACTAACATCATCTGCATAAAAATAATAACAAAGGGCATTTTGCCTTAATTCCAAAGAATATCTTTTTTTGTTTGTTTTTTACGCTCATGTAAATGAGTGAACCAACCAACAAATATACCATTCACTAATGACTGCATCACTTTTAGAATGTTGTACTGTTATATAAACTTCGTCTTAAATTATGTTCTGGCTATAGATGCAAGGATACACGTTTGTTGATTTTTGTACAAGTATTTTTGCATGCCCTGCTTGGTTGTACATGACAATGTGCACGCACACACACACGCACACGCATCGAAAGGTGCTGTGTTATCAGAGGTCTCGCAGGCTTTGCAGGTCTTTGTGCCTTTCCGCTTAGCTGGATGGTTTCGATTTTGTGCAGAGTGGAGTTGATTGGCAGAGTTGTAGAAAGAAGGTTTCGCCTCCTGACCAGCCCAGAGGAGATTGTATTACTTGTCATTGTCATCCAAAACGCGATGGAATAATCAAACAAGTGTTTTCGATGATGACCATTTGCGGTTTAAATGTCTTTCTTTGGTCTGTTTGTAGCAGTGTGTCTTGATATTTTGTTTGTTATTAACAATTAATATTTTGCATATTTCTCAATTTGCACATTTCTGCCAGCTATTTATTTTTCTTTTGGATCATATCGCTACTCCTTATCTTCCGATGTATTTCCTGATAAATCACAGCTCGAGTTAAAACTCTATGCTAACTAATAGAGTATGTGCACAGTGACATGCCTCTCTCTCTCTCTCTCTCTCTCTCTCTCTCTCTCTCTCTCTCTCTCTCTCTCTCTCTCTCACTCTCACTCTCTCTCTCACTCTCTGTGTCACTCATCCACTCACTCATGATGAGCTGTCTGCTTTGGTCTGAACCCAGCAGTCTTGTGTTGCGAACCTGTTCTCTGTGATCAAGTGTGCAGGTTTGAGCCCTTGTTGGCCCCGTAAGAAATGCAAACCTCTCCCAAATGCTGCAGTAACATATGCAAAGCGGTACCACTGTCTCCATCCCACTTATTCCTGCCCCCGTACACACACACACGTCTGCTTGCATCTCCGGTTGTGTGTGTGTGTGTGTGTGTGTGTGCGTGTGTGTGTGTGTGTGCGTGTGTGTGTGTGTGTTTTCCTTCCGATTGTCGTTTGTAACAGTCTTAGCTTTGTGTTGGTCGAAGGATTATCACGGCTTTGCCACCAGCAGCCAAGCAAGGACCTGAGGAGAGTGGGGCTTAAAAGGACAGAGTGTTGTAGTGTCCAGACAACTGTGGGAACACCGCGCGCGTGTGTGTGTGTGTGTGTGTGTGTGTGTGTGTGTGTGTGTGTGTGTGTGTGTGTGTGTGTGTGTGTGTGTGTGTGCACGCCACAGAAAACGCGCTCGTGTGTGTGCGTGCCACGGTTGGCTGGTTGGCCATGTCGACACAGCGAAGCCTTTAGCTCGAAGCTTCTGGTTCTGCCTTCTATCCACGCCCAGCCTAAACTGTGTGTTCTGTCTCCCCTTTTTACTGACCGGCTCAAGTAACGCTGCTCCACAAAGTCCTCATGTCATCTCAGCAGGAAGTGGATCACATTGTTCTTGCCGCCAATGCACCCAGACTCAATCTGTGCTTTCATGCGGAGAGATGTTGAGTAAAGCGGATCTGCTTAGGCCACTTGTCATTTTGGGGTTTCATGGAGGATGAAGTAAAACGTTCCGGAGATGGTGTCATTTTTTTTTTTTTTTAAATTCTGAACACCGTGGATAATTGCAATGCTGACTGAAACCACAAAAATATTTGTGCGCACTTCATCAAGATAAACACAATTGTTTTTTAAAGTTATGCTGGTGCCGAACAAATTGTAAGACTGGTCCATTGCAAGTGCTGGGCAGCTTCAGAGTTTGAACGACCACTATGTATAATGTCACACGAGATGTCAACATCGCTGAACACAGCTCACTTCAGCAAGTATCTAAGGGTTTGCTGTAGCTTCGGATTTTTTGCGGCTTTGTTGAATAAGCGGCGTCAGCAAGGAAAGTTAAGGGAAAGAATGTATCGCTGCCGTCAGGTGGCATCCTTGCATCTTCCAGACGTCCCCCAAATAAACAACCAAACAAACAAACCTGGTGCCTTGATTTGCCAACATTGCATCATCAAAGAAGGGCAAGCTATTTTCAAACTGTTCAGAGTAAAAGACTAACATGGGAACTGATCAATAGTATCAATTTGTAATATGTATGTATGTGTGTGCACACAACCAGTGTCTCAGAAATGACCGAATTGTTAGAGGTTCACAGTAAACTTGGTTGAATAGATGTATGCGGGATTTTATTTACCATTGATAACTAATGAGACAACATTTGTCCAGTTCTTTTATCTTTTCTTCTCGCAATGTTAATAGTAACTACCAGAAGATTGCATATTCTCAGTTGAACGATTTAGAGGGATACTAAACTTAGTCAGCCCCTTTCACCAGTAAAAAGTTTACATTTTGTGTGCATTGAATTTGATAACTTCATTTTTTTTTCCATGGACGATTATGGATGGCAGGAAAACGGAGACATGGAGCCTTTTTTGGCGAGAATGCGGAACAAAGTCTGAATTTGTCCAAAATGGGTCCTCTTCTATATACTCCATTGACCGCTGACCCACAGTGAGGGCGACTCTCCCTAGCTCATGTGTGACCCGACAGTCTGCAGTTTAGAAAGTGTTGATGCACGGTTTCGTCGGGTCTTTAGAATAACTTGAAGTGTCTACCAGTTGTAGAGAGGCAGGAAGAAAGAGAATCACAAACTCTCTGTCCACAAGTTTGATCTACCCGATTCGGGGATTGGAGTTAGGGGGTCTATGTGCTGGATCCTAGCAAGTTGAGATAACACAAGCCCAAGGTCAGAGTTGCAGCGACATCGGAAAACCTTTTCCATGAATGCCGAATAGGACGAGGCGCAGGGCGAGTAGAGGTCGGCGGGGGCTGAGATGACGAGAACTGTGATCTCTTTGGCGTGCGTGTGTGTCTACGTGTTCACTGTGTGCGCGTGTGCATGTGAGTGAGCATGCACGAGGTCTGTGATCTCCTGGCCTTTGTGATGGAGATAGGCCCGGCCGGTTTGACCCGATAATGACGCAACGCTCTAATAGCATTCATCCTTTCTCCCGCAAAACTACTCAAGCGTTAAAGAGGGAGAGAGGGAGGGATGGGGGGGGCGAGAGAGAGAGAGAGAGAGAGAGAGAGAGAGAGAGAGAGAGAGAGAGAGAGAGAGAGAGAGAGAAGCTGGGAAGAGGCTGCTAACGCTAGCTAAGCTATGTTTAAGAAATGACATGGGCCTCATGTTGTGATCTTGGAATGAGGGGGCATCTTTAGAAGTGTGTGTGTTAGTGTGACACATCAGCAGTAAATACACTGCACTGTGTCTCTGCTCTTGCTCTTTATCAGTGTATATTTGCTGTGCTTACTGAAGCATGCAAGGCTTTCACAGCCCTGGCCCATCAGGGACAGGACCCCATGACACACACACACACACACACACACACACACACACACACACACACACACACACACACACATATCATCCGAGGGTCATTACAGGCGCCTACCTATAGCCGCGGTAATCAGTGGTTTATATCGGCGTCCATATTCACCACAGAGGCCGGTATCAATAGCATGGGAATGATGGGAGAGAAGAGAAAGATTAAAGCACATTGTATCCAGCAGGCTTATTATACGATCACAACTCGAGAGTCATTTTGAATGTTAAACCTTCTTGTCCGAGTTTCTTTCAATTGTGTTCTTCTGTGCTTAGACCAAGGTGGGTCCTCCTCAAAAGCCGCAGCGGGAGGACAATGGCCGAAGCCCCGCCTACTGCTATAACTGTTCCAAAAAGGGTCACTTTGGCCATGTGAGTAATACCGTGCTGTATATAATGTGTTTTCAATGCGTGGATGGACGATGCGTATTAAAACTTTCTGCTCTTAGAATCCTCTTAATGCGCACTTTTGATTGCAAAATTTTAATGACATGGACAACTAAGGCTGCTTTTTGTGTGTGCCTCAGGGGTGCACTCAGCAGAGGATGCTCAAATGGACATATGCTACCACCCCTGTCATCAATTATTACGACACCTCGATAGACATCAAACGCAGACAAAACAGACTGAAGAGCAAGGCTGAAGGTTGGTCACACAGCAAAGGAATACATCAGGCATTTGAAGCAATCGCGTACTAATGTGAATCAAAAAATTCAAGGCAGTTTTGCCAGAATTTCATCAGATTCTTAATTTACAGAACTTGATTATACAAGCATATATGCTTGGAGGCAATCTAATGTGATCCACTGCCAGAAGTGTATTACATGAATATAATCACATTCCTCCCATTAGCTAAATCAGGTCACAAAAATATTTAAGAAAACATCTTCGGTATGATGCAGTGTGGCGTTGTTTTTCAATTAATAATATTATTGTTCTCCCCCAGAACTGAAGAAAAATGGCTTTATGCCCGACAATTCTCAGACTTGGCTTACGAATGGATCACCGAAGAAGAAACAAAAAATCAGCCATGCAACCAATGGCCACCTCTTGAACAATAAATTGGACAGGACTGCTTGCAACCCCAAAGCCACGCACAACCATATATTTTTTAATGACGACAGTGACTCTGAGGCTGCACTCTTTCCCAAAAATAAGTTTAACAAGCACAAACGACAAGCGAGCGCAGGGAAACAGTGGAAGCCCAAGAGAGCGGTGCCGAAGGAACGCCCCGCACTGCCCAAACTCATCGTAGATGACGGGGGAGATTTTCCCAGAGGAAAAGGTGGAGGAGTGAAACCCAAGAAGAAGAGTAAGAAGAATAAACAAGGTTCAGCAGCGGAGCTCGAAGATGATTTTAGGACAGCACCTGGCAAGATGAAGAAAAACAAACATGAAAAGAGAAATCGATATAACAAAATGGCTCTAAAGATGTATCCAACAGATGAGAACCTGTTTAACATAAAGCAAAGGAAATGCAAGCGATAGCAGTGTGTAGTATGAGCCTGTCGAGGTGCCCGACTGTATTTGAGTGTGTGTCAAGGCTGCTAACAGGGTCCGACGTTAACGGTGACCACGTGAATGAGTCGGGCCACCCAAAGTTCACAGATGCTGGCCCGACTGGGCCACCAGCACAAGTTTAATAAATGAATGAGACAAAATCAACATATTCTTTCTTTTTTCAGTGTCTAGTATTCAATATTTAGAGTGTTATCACTTAAATTGATCGGAAATCATCTGTGCTCTTTTTACTCTCGTTGTGCACATTAGATAGCCCCCATTCATTGACACATGGCATGCGACATACGAGCGTGCGTATTCTCCACTCGGTCTACATGCTTCACCATTTCATCCACCAGTAGGCGTATATATTTCGTTTTAAATTTTAAGTTTTGGTCTAAATCTTAATGTCTATATACTGGGGAGTGGAGTGTGGATATTTTTTTATAAGTGGCTGCCTTGATACCCCATACTTGCGTGCATTTTAGCCGCTGAGACGACGCGCTTCGTTTCACCCACAGGAAGGCCGACATATGTAAATGGAGTGTTGTTTTAAATTAGGGCCAGTGTCTGTTCTGGCAGGACCACTTCAACTTGGCTCAGGGTGGCCCGACTATGACCATCCCAAAAGGCCTAATATCGGACTCTGGCTGTTAGTAATTTTGCGTTAACAAAAGTCTAGTAGTGTTAATTTGTTCTGTTCATTCCTGTTTCAATTCAGTTTGTCTCCATTAAACAAAAATAAATTGTATCTTATTTTGTTCTGTTCATGCCCGTTTTAATTCAGTTTGTCTCCATTTAACAAAATAAATTGTTGCTTATTGGCCTTTTTTTTTTTTTTGTTTTGTTTTTTTTTGTTTTGCTTTCTCACATTGTTGAACTAAAATAGCTTGGCTCTAAAAGATAAATGTTTTTATGCCACAGGTTTTAAATCATTTTCTGCTGCTTGGACTTGGAAACAAAGACAAACATTTTTGTTTTACTGTAGAATTGCCAACAGTAGTGCTTTGAACTACTAGCCAACTGACTTTTTGAGATACGACGAACGCCGTTCGGGCAATTTTTTGCTTTGACTTGTGCATTTAAAACAGCCTTAGCTTTGGTTTAGGAAGTTCTTAGATTAACGTGAAGAAACAACTCAAACCGCCTGCCAAGTACCGATACTGTTGATCCATTGTTAGGTGTCTTGGTCTCATAATGTCAAAATGTGAATGAACAGCATGATGAGGACGACTGTTTAAACACCCGCTCTAGTTGAACCAGGACATTTATTTATTCAAAGATCAAATACCTGCTGTGAATTTTGCAGTTAAACTCATTAGAGTACAGCAACTTGTGCAAAATGTACTGAAACATTTAGATTAGATTAGATTAGATTAGATATCCTTTATTTGTCCCACACTGGGGAAATTTACAGCCTTCAGCAGCAAGATTGTGGGTAGAAAGAAGAGAAAAGAAAACACAGTTCAATTAAGTGCAATTTAATTGATTAATTAATTTAACAGTTGGACATCTGCATTCAAAAGCTTAGAGAAGGTCGCATTAAATTAACCTGTTGAGGTTTGAATGCGTTTAAGGCTCGCCCTTTTTTTTAAATCCTGCTTTCAAATTTGAAATTGGGATTACCGGTAAATTGATGCTGTATTCGTTAAAAAATTGTGTAAAATGTATTGCACTCATGTTTCATTTTACCACAATAATGGCCTAAGTAATTGTTAATTAAATGTTGCAACAGCAATGGAAAAAAATATAAATGTCCTTGCGAACAAAAAATATGTGTGTATAACTTCTCAGTCATATTGGTCATGGTAATTTGCAAAGTTTGAGTTTAATTGTTTGGCGAATTTGTTGTTCTTTGTCTTGTTTTGAAGTGACAGGAGGAATTATGCTATGAGGCTGACGATACGCAAACTCCCCTCACAAACCTCGAATCTACGAGCACTTTGATATCAACCCTCTAATTATGGCACTGATAAATTTGCTCACCTTATGTGTGTCCGAGAAGCTGCGATCATTGTTATTACCACATTTTTGTTAAAGAATGAAGGCAACAAGTGAGGAACTGTGACATTTATTCATTCATTCATTACAGCGCCTCAAGTGGACAGTAATATTTAAACGATCACCCCGACTTTGTAACGTAAAAGAATAGTGAAAGCATGATGAAGTGTGATTTTCATATCAAGCGGGCAATGTTAACAACTCACAATGATATTTTATTTGTACTTATGTATCAAAAATGCTGGCCTTCATATGACGGTTCTCACCGATCAAAAAACAGGAAATTATGTGTTTTCCCATACAACTTGAACGCAGCAGCTCGACAAGGCAGCCGAATCCGCATTAGCGTGTACACTTCCGAGTGGTGGATTATCTAGTGTCACATGGCGATTGCACTTTCAAAGAGAAGAGATCTTCCCTCCGTCATCGGCCAAAGCACCAACATGGAAAACGGTATTTCCAAAACCGGAGACGCTAAACTGGACCAAGCTGTCAACCAATGGCTGCAATATGACAAGGTATGAAGACAGCTGACCTGTTAGCAACCACAGGAATTTTTGATATCCTGTGATATTCCTGATGTTCATATAAAGTCCGCTGTATTTTTGACACATTATGGAGATGCTGATATTTTGTTACGAAACATCTCATGTGGTAAAAAAGTGGACTTTGTGAGGACGCTACTTCCTCCAATGTTCGCTGGTCCTTTAGTGTTATACGCTTCTGGCCTTAATGTAATTTATATTGATAAACTCTAAATTCTAAACTCATGGGTCATTAGTGTATTTTACAATAAATTCTAATCGCCAAACTCATGGTGACGACTAATTCGTCCCGAACTGTCCCTGTCTGTACGAGCACAGCAGGGCATCTTGGATAGGTAACTAGATGGACTCTTTCAACCCCCATAAAGGTAAAAAATAAAAAGTGTACTGCACTCATTGACTGGACAGAGCAAGTACAAGAGCTACATAATGAATTCTGCCTTTGCAGAGACATGCTCAGTTACTCGTAATTTATTTCAGTGGGAGTTTGCTGCTGAGAGGCATGTTATATTTGTATTCTGTTGTTATTACACTTTCATGTTGTTGTAATTGTTTAATCACTATTAATTTAATTTTAGTTTTAATATTGTAGTAGAAATGGATCAACATCGGTGGCCTTGTGGTTAGCATCACAGGTCTGAGTTGGGTTCGAATCAGGACCCCAGCCAAACCGTGCCGTCCTTTGCATGATCTCCACTGCTTGATAAGATAAGACAACCTTTATTTGTCTCACAATGGAGAAATTCCCATGGGCTTTCTCGCCATACCTGGCTTCCTCCCACATTCAAAATTCTCAGGTGTGAATAAAAGTCTGATTGATTGTATGTGTCCTGGTGACCATTCCAGGGTGTACCGTGTCTCTTGCTTAAAGACAGCTGAGATATATTCAAGCTCACTATTGAATCAATTAAAAAGGACTATGGAAAATGGATGGATGCATCACCACTTGTGTTACTCATATGACCGAGAAAAAAATACAAATCTCATTGGGAATTAAAGTAAACATTATCTAACATGGTGTTTAGTTATAATTAGGTAACTGTGCTGCTATTACACAAAACAAGAACATTTAATGATCTGCATTTTTATTTCATCTCCATCCTTCTTGAAAAGCACACTGAGCTGTCCTAGTACAAACAGACACGGAAGATAGGAATGTTCAATGGATGGTATACACATTGTGTGTAATACGTGTAACGTGCATGCAAGCACGTGGTTAGCACAAGCAGTCATTTATTGCCTTCCAATTGACAAGGAATGTCACTAATAAGGTCACATTGGAAAATTGACGCAGACTCCCCAGGAGTCAGCACTGACATACGGTAATTGAGTCAGGTCCTGGCTAAAGCTGAAAGCCTGCAACTAACCATTATTTTAATAATCAATAAGTCTATATTATATTTTTCAATCACTCGATGAATTGGATAAAATAATTGTTTGAAAATGTCCATCCTTTTTCTAAATTACTGGATTTTATTTCAAATTGGCATTGCAGAAAAGTGGCACAAAGGTTGCTGCGCACGCCAAAATATTGACCCAAACGTCACCATTTTGTTTTTACATGTGTGTTTTCACTCCGTAGAATCCAAAGACAGTGTCTGCAGTGGAGAAGCTGCTAAAAGATGGCGCCGTCGAGACGCTAAAGAAATATTTCTCATCCAGGATGGAGTTTGGTACGGCAGGTCTTAGGGCAGCCATGGGCCCCGGCATTGCTTGTATGAATGACCTCACTATCATCCAGACTACACAGGTTAGTTAATGCCTATTGCGTGCGCGCGCACACACTCACGCGCGCACACACACACACACACACACACACACACACACACACACACACACACACACACACACACACACACACACACACGCACACACACATTGGGGCGGTCCACCTGTGTTGCTAGTTCATGTTCTATTTTGTCTGAAATTCCCATGGCAAACAGACAAAACATTTTTTTAGTTTGTCTTTATGCGTCTCAAGAACAAATTCCCTTCAAAGGTTTGGTGGAGGATTTGTGAATGAGTTATCTTGTTTTGCAAGAAAGTGTGCTTGTGGTAGGAATCGAGTGAGGAGGAACTGGGTCATTAATAAAGTGCAAACTTTGATTGGGAGATGTATTACGAAAAGGATATGTTTTATCATTCAGGATGAAGAATTTTATTCTAAAATCACCATTTAAAAGGTGCAAATTTAAAGTGTTCTTTTTCTGTGGTCAATAAAAAGCCTTCTTTTCTGTCTATGTGGAGGAATGAGCTGAACATTGATTTGAAGTCATACTGCCCACTTGTATTCAACTCGACAGGGCTTCTGTCGCTACCTGGAGGAAAATTTTGAGAACTTCAAGGAGCGAGGAGTGGTGATCGGCTATGATCACCGAGCCCACCCTCCCAGCGGGGGCAGCAGCAAGCAGTTTGCCCGACTGGCTGCAGCTGTGTTCATCAGCCAAGGGGTTCCTGTGCACCTCTTCTCTGTCATCACGCCTACTCCCTTTGTGGTAACGTGCCCTTTCATTCTCCCTTTTTACAACTGCTGGAATGACTTCATGACTTCATCGCCAACGTAGTTTATGTCACAGTATAGCACAGTCAAGCACACTTCTGCTACGTGATAACTGGGGCAAAAGTAAGCAAGAGCAAATTCCATTCGCAAAGCACACTTCTGCCATTTGACTACACATGACATAACATCCAGGATAGGTGATCAGCTTGGCTTTGCGTGCCCCTTAGAGTTATGTTTTGAATGCATCTGCTGAGATGTTTAATCCAGTTTGAGAAAATGAGGCTAATCTTTGCTGGTGTTATTTTTTTTTAGCCTTTCACAGTTTCACACCTCGATCTATGTGCTGGTATTATGGTGACTGCCTCACACAACCCCAAACAAGACAATGGCTACAAGGTAACACTGCATTTAAACATATTTGTTTTTATTTTAAGAATGTGCTCATTTTAGAACTGTTTCCTCTAATTTAGGTGTACTGGGACAACGGTGCCCAGATTGTGTCCCCTCATGACAAAGGCATCGCCAAAGCCATCGAGGAAAATCTGGAACCTTGGTCAGAGTCCTGGAATACGGAGAGCGCCCTGAAGAGCCCCTTGCTCAAAGACCCCTATCAGGACATCCACATAAACTACTTCAAGGCCATTCAGAAACACTGCCTTCACAGGTAATCACATAAATAGCAAACAAGTGGACTATTTTTGATTTTTTTTTTTAATACCGAAAGCAAAGAATTGTCCACATTAAAATGCATCCATCCATTTTCTAATCTGCTTATCCTCACGAGAGTCGTGGGTGTGCTGGAGCCTCTCCAAGCTGTCTTCGGGCAATAGGCGCAGTACAGTCTGAAGTGGTTGCCAGCCAATCGCAGGGCACACATAGACGAACAACCATTTGTGCAAACAGTCACACCAAGGGTTAATTTAGAATGTTCCATCAGCTTGCCATACGTGATTTTGGAATGTGGGAGGAACCGGAGTACCCGGACAAAACCCAGGCAGGCACGGGGAGAACATGCAAACTCCACACAGGAAGGCCCGGAGCGGGAATCGAACCCTGCACCTCTGCACTGCATGTGAGGCGGATGTGCTAACCAGTCGACCACCATGCTGCCCATTAAAATGCATTTCACATTAAAATTATATCATACAAATGAAGAATTAGTACCATCATGTTAAATGTACATGCCATTCATGAAGAATGCCAAAATGCAGAGCTTTTTGTTTGATTGTCTTTACTTTTCAGCTGCTAACCCCAGCCACAATTTTCCTTAGATCAGGCAAGATTTTAAAAGGATCTGAATTCAGCTTTGTAATGTAAAAAATATAGTTATACTCTCAACACACACTAGTAAACACAACGGGAAATCTTAAACCCTCTTGTTTTTTTTTTTTGTTTTTTTTTTTTTTAAAGTACCTGTCTTCATGTTGTGGACATAGCCTGTTTTGCACATGAAACCACCATATACTCAAGTATGCTAACACCTATGCAAAATATGTTGTTCCCATATGCAAGGTATGCCACACTACATTGTTAAAACCCACTCACATTCAAAGTAGTGGGTGTGGGCCTTTTTTTTCCTTCCAGGGAATTAAACAAGACTTCTGAGGTGAAAATTGTACATACATCAGTGCACGGCGTTGGCCACACCTTTGTGCAGTCAGCTTTCAAGGCCTTTGACCTTCACCCACCTTACGCGGTGGAGGAACAGAAAGACCCGGACCCAGAGTTCCCCACTGTGAAATACCCCAATCCAGAGGAGGGGGAGGGAGTTCTGGTATGCACAGAACAGTCACCCAAGCATGTGGACAATCATGTTATGTCGGTGCTGTGAATTTGTGTATGTGCTTTGCAGACCCTCTCCTTTTCTTTGGCTGAGACGGAACGGGCCACTGTGGTGTTGGCCAATGACCCGGATGCTGATCGGCTGGCTGTTGCTGAAAGGCAGGAAAGGTGCGTTTATATGCGTACATGATGAATCAGGATTTTAATTTTTTTTAACATTATAGTCTATAAAGAGCTTTTGTCTTTGACTGGCAACCATTTCAAGGTATGCCTTGCCGAAGTCTGCTAGGATCTGCATTCGATGCACACAGGATAAGTGGTATTGAAAATGGATGGATTTATATGTAGAAGTAAACATTTACAGATACAGTTCACCTATTGGTAAATCTTAAGCCGACGATCAATATGGGTGAGCACACGGCATATGCATGGATTTTCTTTTTGGAGGTTAAATTAATTTGGAAATGTCATAAATATAATTTGGACATTGTCTTTAGTGTGGACATCATCAGAAAGGTAAAAATGTTTTGGGCATATAGTGTACATTGTCTTCTTCCTGTCTGCTAGTGGACAGTGGCGAGTGTTCAGCGGTAATGAGCTGGGAGCGTTACTGGGCTGGTGGATGTTCCACTGTTGGAAAGAGCAAATCCCCGATGCTGGTGCTGTGAAAAACGTCTACATGTTGGCCAGCACCGTTTCATCCAAGATTCTGCGTGCCATCGCTCTCAAGGAAGGCTTTCACTTTGAGGTAACGGATACGAATCTCAAAAATGCCATTTTTGGCATGGCCTTTCACTTGGAAATACTGGTTTAATTTGTAGCGACTTTCAAATAGGAAACACTGACAGGGTTCAAATGGATGGGAAACAGAGCCCGAGACCTTTTGGATCGAGGCAAGACTGTTCTGTTTGCCTTTGAGGAGGCCATCGGTAAACGCACACGCTCACGCTCACACTATTAGCTTAACAGCATATATTGCCAAACTACAGAAAACAGAAACTGACCAAACCAGAAAAGTCCAGTTTCTTTGTGGATATTTTTACTTTGATTACTGAGATCTATGAGAACATAAATTTAAAAAAAACACCATTTTTTTAGCATTCTTATCAAGTATTTTATTGATGTTGTGACACTAAGTTAATAATGACTTTGGCAATCAACCTATTGAGGTAATGATGTAATAGAGGGGATCTCCTGATTCGGTCTTTGTGGTGTTCAATTACAGTAATCCTGATCTGCTTCTGATGTCACAAGCTAGTTTTATTTGTGACCTCACAAGTGTCCATGTGATTTAGATTTAGCACAACTGTTGATTTTCTTTCACAAGACCTAAAACGAGCTGGCAGTCGTTACAAATCATTGACAGACATTTGAATTGGAAAGTCCTCCTTTGAGAGCCAATTGTATCACTTCATACATGATGATGGTTGGCAGTAAAAAAAAAAAAAAGAAAGAAAACACAATAGGTTCTATCTACCCAACCACTCTGAATAAGAATAGCAGTATAGACAATGGATGGCTCATCTTTTGTCATTATACCAGCAGAATGACTTTCAGAACCTGATTAAACTGAATATGGCTGTTACAGCACATTGCTCTATCCTGTGTATTGTGTTGAAAGTCAAAGCAGCAACAGTCATCAAATTGCATTGCACGTCGCGTGTGCGTGCATGCGTGTTGCAGGGTACATGTGCAGTGCCTCAGTGTTGGACAAAGACGGAGTGAGCGCAGCTGCGATAGCAGGAGAGATGGTTTCCTACCTGGCTGCTAAACAGAAGAGTCTTTCTCAGCAACTCACAGCCATCTATGAAGAGTAAGATTACACAGTTAGACCTTGAATAGTACCCCCGCCAAGCACTTTGCACTGCTGCCAAAGTAGCTTAACTCGAAAACTCATCAATTTTCATTCAATGAAAATGCCTGAAGTGGATTAATCAATAGCAAACAAGCAACGTTAAAAAAATTAATACATAAAAATGAAAGTTTACAACTATGGCACATAAATAAATATTTAATTGTTTTCAGCTTTGCAAAAGTAATTCTGTCCTTTATTTAACCCATAGCAATACCGCTTGAAGACATGTGGCCTGTCAATGTGACATTAGGACTGCAAGCTGCTACAGCGAATCGACTCTCTCTCTGTCTCTCTCTCACACTCTGTCACTCTCTCTCTCACGCCCTCTCTCTCTCAGGTATGGTTACCACCTCAGTAAGAACTCCTACTTCATATGCCATGACCAAGCTGTGATCCGCAGCTTGTTTGAGCGCTTGCGCAATTTCGGAAGCGGCGGCAAGGACTCCTACCCGAGTAAATGTGGTCCCTTCTCTATCACTGCTGTCCGCGACTTGACCACCGGCTACGACAGCAACCAGCCTGATAACAAGGCTGTACGTATTAACCTTGTTTATTATTATCTTTTTTTTAACACTTGCTATATGAGGTAATAGATGCTTGTTTGTTTAAAAAAAATGTAGGTAAAAGCATCACCGAAAATGTGAAAAAAACTCAAGAGGCTGCTGAGACCTCAGACAATACCTCACCTCAAATCTTTCTAGACAATCACACTGGCAACTGAATTTTACACACCAGTGTTTCCCAAAATTTAATAAGCCACGGCAAAAAAATTTAACGGCACAATACCAAGGAAAAATGTCAAAAAAGAATATCGTGCGGCACGGTGGTTGACTGCTTAGCACGTCGGTCGACTGGATTGCACGTCCACCTCACAGTGCTGAGGTGTAGGGTTTGATTCCGGCTCCGACCTTCCTGTGTGGAGTTTGCATGTTCTCACCATGCCTGTGTGGGTTTTCTCCGGGTACTGCGGTTTTCTTCAAACATTTTTAAAACATGCATGACAGATGAATGGAACCCTCTCAATTGTCCAGAGGTGTGGTTGTGATTGCGAATGCTTGTTTGTCTATATGTGCCTTGCAATTGGCTGGCAACCAATTCAGGGTTTTCCCCCCCACCTACTGCCTGAAGACAGCTGGGATAGCCTCCAGCACGCCCGCGACCCTTGTGAGGATAAGCGGATTAGAAAATGAATGGATGGAAGAATATCTTGAAATTATAATGGTCTCCTCTCAATTGTCTGTACAAATTTATGTACTCACTGTAAAATCTGGGGCTTTTTATTTTGTACAAGCTTTTATTCTGTTCTGTGAATGGCAACAGCTTGATGCACTGGTTAATTTTACTTTCTACCATCTAGTAATGGAGGAGTGTGTAATTGTTCTTCTTGTCACTCTACGTTGCTGGCATTCTACATCAAGGGACAAAGACACATTTGTAATAAATAACTTTTTTTGGTTTTCTGACCAATTAAGTAAAATTAGATAATGTTCCGGCAGCACATCAGAGGATCTCTCAACAGGTGTTTGATTCCTGAATTAACCAAAACATTTCCTGGTTCAATTTAAAAACATGTTTTTTAATTATTTTATTATAAAACAGACCTCTTACACCCACTATTCACCTTTTGACGGCATGAGACAAAGACAACACCTAACAAACGATGAGCGGTATTTCATCATTGCGAGTATTCCAACTAGATGTTTTCAGAGGGTAGTAGCCACTGAGCTTCGTGTCACAGTGTCACCAGCAGAGTCGCAGGAAGACAAAATACCAGTATACCAATATAGGCCCCCCCACACCCTGTACTACGTGTAGTTGAGTAAATGCCTTTCTTTTTTAAAATGGTTTCTTCCTTATCCTTAATCCTTTATTCTCTGCCACATTGTCTGGTCCCCAGATTCTTCCCACCTCCCGTTCCAGTCAGATGATCACATTCACTTTCTCCAACGGGGGCGTGGCCACCATGAGAACCAGCGGCACCGAACCCAAAATCAAATATTACACCGAGCTGTGTGCAGCCCCTGGTAACAGGTACAAAAAGTACAATCACACCCAACTAATGTCAGACAAATTTGCTCATTCTGGCATAATGACATAATCTGTTGACAGTGATTTGGAGCACCTGAAGAAGGAACTGGACCAGCTAGTTGAGGCCATCATTGAAAACTTCTTTGAGCCACAGAAGAACAAACTGCAACCAAAGCCAGAATAGAACTGATGTGTTCAATCACATAATGTTATTATGTCTGTCTTGATTACAAATTTGGTGTCACACAGACCAGAGGACCAGAAGCGACTAGAACAACATTCCTTATGGCTTGAATCACACCAAAAGCTACATTAACTTTAAAAGATTTTTAAGTAGGTCATTTTTTAACAGACTTAGTATTCTTTATGTTCTTAATTTAAATGGGCTCTGGAGCTTTTTGGTCGGTTGTTCAACTGTCTTGATGCACACCGTACATTTTCAGCTGTTACGATGTGTCGTGAAGTTATTGAGTCTTCTTTCACATGAACAGATAGCCTTTCCTGTTTTCTCTGTGTACTGTGGTAATAAACATATTTTATTCCGTTGATCCTGATATTTTTGTATTTATATTTTTAATATAATCTTTTTTCTTTCTCTAACACACTTAGTAATGGTGTTGATAGTAATGGTATTGACGGTATCCAATAGACTACATGATAAATATTTCACATGCAGATAGTTCACATAGTTAAAGAGGCATGCAAATACATCATGAGTTCCAACCACTGTGCCATGAAATTTCATCAGTTGGGCAGCGAGAAAAGATCACATTTCACTGAACTGTTCCAAAAAAAAAAAATATTGCCTACTTATAATGTGCTTTTGATCATCTTTCTATGACAATGATGTACTGTGATAGGCAGAACAACTGAGTGCTCGTCCACTGGATGACAGAAGGTACAATTAAGCTGTTTGCCCACCTGTTGCTACTCATACAACAGAATTTTATTTTCAACTAAACTAGATCTCTCATTAAATAAGATTCTGAGTACAGTGAGACGAGATACCTTGGCTCAAAAGTTGTTTAACACTTGTTTGGGGGCCCTCGTAATGTGTCAGTTTTAGCCATATACAAACTGCAAGGCAATTCAAAAAACAAATAAAACCCCAGCTGATATCCAAAGCCCCCAAGACATCGGTCATCATACGTCGTAATTAATTATTACTTCTTTTTGTTCATCAAAACTTCATTATCATAAATGATAGTACACCCCTGGTGTACTGTCTGTATAATGCATCGTGCTGTATACACTTGACTTGGGTATCCGTGGGCGTGCCCTGAGTATTGTGCACGCAGGCTCCACGCAGTCGTCATGTGTCCTGGCCTGGTGGTTCCTGGAGGCAGAGAGGAACCTAAATTTAACTCAACTAATCACTACTACACAACACCAACCCCACCGTCTCCTTCTCTCCTTCTGGTTCGTTTACGCGGTTGTGTTCACGGGATCACGAATTCCGCGGGATCTCTGGACTCGACTCGGCTTTCTTGGTTCCGCGTCAAAACTAAACAAGTAAGGAGATCAGAGAAAGAGATTTGCACATTTCCGAATGTTTTTTTTCTCGATATTGTTTAAAACATGTTATTTGCAAGGCGACGATTCGATGCAGAATATAAAGTTATGGTAGCACATGTGTACTACTAAATAGCATCTTTTTGATGGGTTGTTGACAGTTATGCCACATAAGATTTTACTGTGGACATCATGAGTATCATGATGCTGTCCTATATGATTTCATAATTACAGAATTGTTGTTTCTCCGAGTCGATTCATGAGGGAATTGTAGATATTCTGACATATTTTGTCAATGTTGAAGGGGAGATCGACCTTCATTTGCTTCTAAATAAGATCCCGGCATTCGTGCGTGCGTGCCCTTGTCACGGTGTTAAGTGCAAACAACACCAGGTGATCATTTCAGCACACCCTCTGAATGACCACCCATCAACCCCCTGCGCTTCCAAATACTGTCAAGGGCAGCAAATTGGAAAATATTTATGGGGGCACCCTGTGAATTGTGGAAAATTTGCTGCCTTTGGTGTTTGAAAATTGTTTTCTGTTACATTTGCTAGTTGATTTGAATTTGATTAATTGTTCAGTCTCAGTCTGTGTGTGCTCCTTTAAAGAGTAATTTCCCCCTATTTTACTTTGCAGAAAGAACCATGAATGGACTTTATTTTGAAGTGAAACCCACAAGGAATATCTCCCGTGGGGTTCATTTATCTTCTGAGTACAATCCATCCATTTCTTCTGAGACAATTTGTGACGATATGATGGAGGAGGCAGTGGAGGAAGCGCAGTACAAACTGACATTAATCGGCTCTCTCCCGGTCCACCGTATGACCACCATGGCGATGCTACCCTGGGTGGTGGCCAACATTAGCAGGTCACAGGAGCCCGGTCCAACTGTGTCGCTATGCGTGTCGCCGTCGTGGGTGCGGTGTGTTTGTGTGCGGACCGAAGGGCTGCTTTGGGACCCCCTGACGCACACTGTGCTGTTTGAGTGCCCACCCCACCAGGTGACCAAGCTCATTCACAATAGCCAGGAGCCTAGCAGTTTTGGATGCCTGCTCAGAGATGCTCCATCCTGTGCCTGTTACGTGTTCAAGTGCCAGGACAGCAACAAGGTAAATGTATGTGTAGCTGTACAGTGAAAAAAAAAAAGACTGACTCTTGTTTACATCTGTTCGCTGTAAAGCTCACCAAATGTGTTATTTTTTTGGTGCTCTTTCTGGAGTACCATAAATTACCGCCAATGCTGTTGCTCAAATTAACAAACAACAGAGGTCTTCTTAGAGCTCCAGCATTGCTACTTGGAGGAGTTTGAAACACTTGGTGAGAGATTTGTCCAAACTTATTCAAAGTGAAACAAACCACAGAACTGAGGTACACGTCAAACATTCATCCACTCTGCTGCATTCTTCCTCTCTTTAAAATACATTAAAATAATCTTATTTAAAAATAACAACTTTGAAATTTTGTCAAATGCCAAATACTCAGAGTGAAAATTCAGTGCTCTTAGTTTATGAGCAATACTGTATTATGCATGCCTATGATACGTAACAATGAGGTAGCATGCAGCCAGCATGAACATTACCTGTGTGGTGCACTGTAAACATGTCAGTGTGTATACATAAACAGTATCACTAGAGTACAAACGTTTTTTTTCTGTCATTGGAATGCTTCATATCAGCTTTACCATAACTGACTACACTAGCACTATATTATTTAAGAATTACAGTACTCCCATTATATGCACAGTACCTCCATGTGGTATTCCACAGGTGTCTATTCTCAGAGACCCCTATTTTAATCTATAACAAATTGTTATGTTCTCCCTGTGCTTGCATGGGATTTCTCAAGCAGCTAGGTGTCCTCCTACATTCCAAAAACATGCTTCTGAGGTAAACCAAAGACTCTAACCATCTGTAAGGTGCGGTTACTTTTTGCCAATGTTCCTTGCAATTGACTGTCGACCACTTCAAGTGCGTACTCCCAATAAGTGCCACAATACTGGCTACTTAGTACAAAGTAGGAGAGGAATACTAGTTAGGAATACTATTGGCCTTATCCTGCTATACGATCTTAACACAGCCTGCGTATTGTTTTGATATTTGTCTTGGGTTTGGGGGTTTTTCGTGTTTAGTACAAGCTCAGAACTATTTGTACCAAGCAGGATGTCCAACTATGTTACTATGGAGACTATTTCCTGTGGCCCTGCGGCTTTTGTGATGTTTGTTGTACAGTTTGGTAGTGTGTGGGTGTGTGGAGGGAGAAGGGGGGAGGGCTGACCACCTGTCACACTACTCTGTCACTGACATTGGTTTTGATCACACTCACACACAGAGGTTTCTGTGGTCCCTGGGCGCAGCTGTGAGGCTTTGAACGCTTACCTAAAATTTAATCAGCAGCATACCAATGTCACATTAAAAAATGCACACACAGACCTGTAAACATATTTACAAAGAAATAATGAGCCAAAAGAAGGCTCCAATCTTGCGACCCCCAAATGACCTTTTCACCGGGATGTCACACTAACGTCCGGTGTCGGTACCAGATGTTGATCGAGCTGCAAGACTGTATCAGGGTCCTTCGGTGGCCTGTGCGCCTGCTGATGGCATCTTGCTTAATATGTCTGTAAAACATTCCTTTGCCTTTATAAGATAAGATAAGATAAGACAACATTTATTTGTCTCACAATGGAGAAATTCCCAATTTACAGCAGCAAAATTGTGGATAGGAGCTGCTGGAAAGGCAGCCACTCTCACGGCGCCATCTTTATATCTATGCTTGTTTCCCCTGGATGTTGTGTTTGTATGTTCTGAGGAACACCTGGGAATTTAAATAACGACACAGAGCTGTTCTGTAAATTGTGGCTTTCACGGAAGATGTATTTTTTGGGGGTGCTGGCATTGCTAGCTACCTTACTGCAAGTTGTTGTCGTAGAACAAAAGTGCTCAGTTGTTATATAGTGAAGAAGAGGCGAAGTTACGAACACTGAATTGAGTACTACACAGTTCTCAGCCTTGCGCATGTTTTGAGCAATTATCTTCAAACAAGTTTAACTCATGTTTATCTACCTACCTGAAATTGAATTGTTGATCATATTTTTCCTTGTGCCCATTACTGCCATCTTATATGGTGACATCACAAAAATTGAAGAAAAAAAACCCCACACAGACACAAACTTTTTAGGGGAATTACCCCTTTCGATGCTGACTGAGCTGAGGTTTTACTGTGACGGTTAGTGGTGCGCTTGTAAAATTTAGTTTGTTAAATTTTTTAAATTACTATTAAAGTAACCACTAGATGTCACTATTACTTGTTGTTTGCCGGCATTTTTTTTCTTTCATTCAATTCCAGTTGCACAGTGAATACAGTATTAATCTGACGAACAAATTGATTTCGTTTTCTTAAGTATACATTGGTACATTGATAGTATATGTTTTCCCGTTATTTATTTTGTCATTCCATTTGTCAAGAGGCTAATAAAAACGGTCTACTGAATAGATTATGGTCTCTTATCACAGTAATCAGAAATCAGTAAATCCATCAGACAGTAAATTCTGTGATGCGTTTCATCGTTGTACAGTATAAAATTTGATGGATGCTGATTATGTGAGAGGTAGCGGTTCGGGAAATGGATGCATGGATGGAGGGATTATTTTACATAACGCAAACATTATTTTTGTATGATTTAGAAGTGTTTATCCGCCATCCATTATAATGCTTGTCTTCATTTGAGTTGTTGAGCTGGACCGTAACTCAGATGATTTTTGTGCAAGAAATGGGGTACACGCTTGACTGGTTGCCAGTCCACTGAGAGGCACATGTAAAAAAAAAAAAAAAAAAAAAAAAAGTAGTGACACTCAAATTCAGATGGACAATTTAGAGCCTACAATTAACCCAAACTGCATTGGAGTGCAACATGCCTACTCCATGCAGGAAAATTGGATTGAGGCCAAATTTGTCCAACTCAAAGAAGGCAAAGATCATAAAAATGTTATTTTTATATTGCAAATGGGGGATTCCAAAAACAGACACTTGTGTCACTCCAATGGCAGTCCTTTAAATTTGTGAAATCCATTCAATTAAAACTGAACAACCACACCCCAATCTTAAAAAATGCATATAAAAAGTGTTTAATAAAATAAAATGTATGAACTAGTTAGGCATAATATAACTGCAAGTTGTTGTACGGTTGTAAATACTGTACTGTATATCCCAGGTGGTTTGTTCTTCTGTTTGGGTGTGTTCCACACAGGAAATGTTTTATATTTATTGCCCAGTGTAACGGTGCAATTACTGTACTTCTGCCGGCAACCGCCCACTGGAGATTTGAGTGAGGGTCTTTCCTCTTATTGGTGGATTTAGCCGCATTATTTTTTTGTGTTACCCGGATTGAAGACGGAAGAAACTCCGCTTCATGTACAAAACAAGCACACCACCCGTGTCACGTGCGAGGGAGAATGTGTAAAAAACGACTGGGTGGTCTTACTTTGGAAGGTAAAAAACGGATGTTGCGCTGACACTTGTTGGCTAATTTGACGCTTAATCTCAGGCTCCTCGGAGTTTGGGAGCTAGATTAATTTTGCAATGAAATAATTTTGGAGCAGGGTTTTTTGTCTTTGAACAATTTAACAACATTCGCCGTGTATACGGAGTTTATGGCTGATGGGATGAAAGCGCGACTCCAGCGATTCAACCTGTTCAACACCAAGCAGGGACCCAAAGATGTAAGTAGAGCTCTGGGAAGTTTTTCCTGAACTTTATGGCACAGGGAGAAGTGAACTGTTTAGGCTAACAGTAGCCGACGCCGCTTCTGCTCGTTGAGAGGGGCATACTGTCGCACTTGGACATTTATGTCGAGTTTATGGCCGTTTATGTTTAAAAGTAAACCGCACTAATTATACAACGTTGTGGCGTGACTACCGAATGGTCACCACCTGCCGTGTAATATTGAATACTGTTTTCATTTTGAATAGTAGCATGATAGCTAACGTAATCACTTGACGTTAGCATCACCGAGCTCAAATTTGGGAACTTTTTATCGAAGTGTTGCTGTTACCACAGGTGGCAAAAATACTCGTATGTAGAAGCACTGTTGCTAGTGTGGATATCTATCTATCTATCTATCTATCTATCTATCTATCTATCTATCTATCTATCTATCTATCAACAAATAGAAGAATTTTAAAAGTACTTATGAGAGAATTTTTCAGTGAATTAATTTCAATGCCTGTTTTGATAACTTGGCACAACGGACACCCAAATCGATAATTAATTAACACAGTGATTATACTGAGATTAATTGTATTTTTTTTAATCACTTGAGCGATAGACTTGCATGATAAACTGAATCCCCACCACCACCCGAAAAGTAACATTTATTAATGATAACAACTGAAAAAATACACCTAATTAGGCTGACACAAGACACGACAAGGCCATGGATGGGGAAAATCTATTGCCGCCATTGTGAAGGTTCCCTGGTTCAAATTCCCACATGTCATTGCTGTCCCTGTTTTTTCCATCTTATAGAGCCCAACAAGTTTAATCGATTTAGATGTTATCAGACTTGACCTCTCTCTATTTACTCTTTTTATGTCATCATCCGCAGAGGTTTTTAAAAAAGGGGATCATTTTGGGTTTAGCAATTAACGTAGGCAATTATAGATATTTTGTGTGTGTGTGTGTGTGTGTGTGTGTGTGTGTGTGTGTGTGTGTGTGTGTGTGTGTGGGAGGGGGGGGGGGTCTCCATCACTTGCATTTTCTCAATATTTGCGTTATGGATAGTGAGCCTTCACTGCACTACTTGGTGTGGCATATGTACAGGATGTGGTAAGTACAGCCAAAGACCCAGTCAACCCACTAGGTTCCAAACAAACTTGACTGTGGTTTGGTTGTGGTGGGAAAGCAATTCTGAAACAATCCGATGGTTTCTTGTGACGTAGTTTGATTTGCTTGGATTATATGGTGTGGAAAAAGAATGCAAACCATAAGGGAATGCAAGTGTAACAAACTCACAAGATGACAAATTTGTGCACCCCTGCAAAAATGTCAGCCTGGCATGGAGGTGCAAAAATATAACATTGATACTTATAAAGTCTCGTTAGGAAATAAACAAAAATGTTATCTTTCATCAATATCAGTCTGCCCAAATGAAAATCCACTGCACACAAGCCAAATGCAAGAAATAACCCACAAGTGATTCATGGTGATATCACCCCCAGAGACATTGTGCAAATGCAAGCGTTTCACACCTCGTTTGCTGTTTTCGTGCACTTTATTAGTCACTCGGCTCAAGCGTTCACTGGAGAACCTGTATCAGCATCCAATTTGGTCCAAAACAAAAAAGAAATTTTGGACCATATTCAGTGGCTCTGATCTAGAAATTTACATTGGTTCGGTCAGGACAGCATCTGAAGGTGGGTAGTGGCACGACACAGTGGCTTCGTGTCCACGGTCCATCGGGCCACTGCTAATGTTGAACACTGGATATTTATAACTGAAATGTCGAAATATTCCAGTTTTTCCTAGCCACAAAGACTTCTTTTAAACCCTCCACATTCTATGAAGTGTAGCAAAACTACCGCATTAGCTAGCTGCGTCTTCCTGTTTTTACATTCACGCTAATCATAAATTACTGTTGTTAATGCTCACCATCATTATTTGAAGCCACTGCTGGATCAAGGCACTGTGGTTATCACTGAGACTTTGTGGTTTAATTTCTTCTTCAAGAGTTGATTGGGATTCAGCAGAAAACGTTAAATTCAATGCCAAGTTGTCAACAAATTGTACCACCATTGACAAAATTACAATGCTTTCCTTATCCGGGTCTTGCTTGTTATTTATTTATTTTTAATGCCCTAAACTGGTTTCTCCTTCGAAATAGTGATGTCAGTGTTTCTCCTCTAGCAAAACATTTCAATGACGTTTCCTGATCTCTTGTTTCGCTCTTGCTGTGCTGTCTGCGATGTGCCTCCTGAACTTTGAGCCGGTATGGGCTCTGGCTGTGCTTCAGAAGGCACATGACTAGGGAGCTCCCCAAGTGGGACAGTATGCTGACTTGTGAGGATTCGCTAAGCTAGACAGAATGCAATTGGACACATTTCAAAGCTAGGTTTTATTCCCACACCTGCTTCTTGGCATTTTCTTTTGACATTTAAAAATACTTTGGGCCACTGCATTCCACATGAGGTATTACTGTATTGTCATGGAATTCCTTTTCACCTTGTTACCTTGTAAGTGAATGGCCAACGAAGTAAAGAGGAGTGGAGTGTAAATACTAAATACATGGACACATTTCAGGATCTCAGTGATTTTTTTTTTTTCTTTTGTGGGGGGGGGGCAGCTATCCTCCTTACACAGCAGTCTTCCCGATATTTATAATCTATTAAATGTGTTGTGGTTTATTTTATTTATTTTTTTGTGCTCTTTATCAGGAAATGGTGTAAGCTTATTGCTTGATAACTAATCCACAAGTGCACATAGTTTTGTTTTTTTTTTGGAGGGTGGGGGGTTCATTTCTTACGGTAATTCACATTTCTTCATCCAACCATCTATTATCCGAACCACTTTTCCTCATGTTATCAAATTAATATTCTTTGTCTTTTTTTTTGGAGGGGGGGGTAATTTCTTTATAATTCATACCTTGTATATGCCAGCGTTATGGCAATACCAGATGATATATTTTTGCATGTTTAGTTCTCAGAAACTAAATGTGTAGTTTGGGTCTTGAGCTGAAAAAGTTCAGGAATCTCCTTTATTCACTATCCTCACCCTTTGATAAACGCTGAAACTTTTGTTGTTTGTCAGCCCGGATTGCAGTTTCTCATTCGCAGTGGTGGTACTTGTGTAACTTCCCTCTTTTTGAGGGCACACTAACAGTAGCTCTATTTAACGCTGGCTTCGCGCAAGACTGTATGCTTTTTTAGTTCTGCTCCTCTGTGAGAACCCATGACTGTGGATGGACACACTCAGGCAGTGTCCAGCTGACTTCCTGCTACAGATCCCCCTTCAAGGATATGTTTGTCGAACTTCCAGTCAACGTGTCCCTTTCAGTGTGAAGTCGTCTCTTCGCTCCCCTTTACTAATGTCTCCCTTCAAACCGGGTCTTTCCGAATTTATGGCAGTCTGTGTTGTGGTATCTCAGCCTTCACGGCCTTAAGTGGAACTGTGCTATGGAATACTTGTATTGTTCTTCCACCAGTTTTACACAAAACATACACTTTGCATCTTGTCCAAATGTTTGGAATATCATTTGTTTTGGTATGTCTGTTGTACCATATCATTCTCGTTGTCTGTGGTGCCATATCATTCTGATGTGTTTATACGACTGAGAAATTTGATTGCGTTTCAGTTTGACATCCATCCATCCATTTTCTAACCTGCTTATCCTCACAAGTGTCGCGGTTGTGCAGAAGCCTATCCCAGCTGTTTTCAGACAGTAGACGGGGTATAACCTGAACTGTTTGCAAGCCAATTGCAGGGGTTACTTGAGAAAAACGTTTTTTTTTTAACTAGATTTATAAAACAAATGTTGTGAGTAATATGCCCTAATGCAAATCTCTTGGACATGACGGCAAAATATCAAAGTCTAGTATGTTGCCGCGGGATTCGTCATTGTTTTGGAGTATGTTTGCACAGGTGCAGCGATTCTCACGTTGGTGGGGAAATGGCCCAGTTCAAAATTAAGATTTTCAAACAGAAACTGCTGACAAAACAAATTACTCTTGGGCTTATCTGTGAGCTTTCGTCTTAAGACTGAATGTGTGGTTGCTCTAATGCCTAATAGATGATAAGAAGTAGCTGATAGCATCCTTTGTATCAGTTCAAGAAGTCGAGAACTTCAGTACATTGTGTAATTGAATTGATTTTGTTTTTTTGGTACATGGGCAATACTGGAAGCATCGAGACTTCTTGATTTCTTTACTTCCTTTCTCTGCTGCTCTATATCTTTTAAGACAGTGTTTGTGACTTTGTGGAAATAGAGATTGGAAGAGGTCAATCAAATAAGGGTTGTTATTGGAGCACAGATAAGTAATGCACCGCTCACATGCCAGCATGATTTAAAAACAAATAGAATTGAGGCTTCAGAGTAAGAAACATGTCGTTGCTGATATCTCCAAAGTGTGGGCAGTGAACAGAGAATTTTACAACCCCAAACTGAAAAACAGCCGCATTCCTTTTCAGGTCTATTTTACTTTTGGCCAGTGGTTCCTAACCTGGGTTCGATCGAACCCTAGGGGTTCGGTGAATTGGTCTCAGGGGTTCGACGGAGCCTCTGCCATGGAGGTTAAGACATACCCGACTCATCATGTGAATTAGTTGTGACACGCCCGCTTGGCCATCACTGGCTGCAGATGATGATTAATCATGATCACATGACATTGCTTGTCCAATCAGTGCTGCTGGTAAATTTAGTTCACTCAGTAGTCAACGTGTGACTGTTATGATAGTACGTCGTAAAACTAAAAAAAAAAAAAAAAAAAAAAAGTCTTTTTTCTGTTTTTAATGTGCTTTTTTTTGTCTTGAATTTGCAAAAAGTCATATTTTTGTTTTTTCACGAACGATGGGTTCGGTGAATGTGCATATGAACTGGTTGGGTTCGGTACCTCTAACAACATTTTATTTTTGTTTATTTTATTCTATTTGATTTTTTTTACAAAATGCACTAAGGAGTGGCACCCAAATTTCGTTGTATGCAATACAATGACAATAAAGGCGATTCTGACAAGGTTAATTCATTCAGTACCAGCCAATTCTAGACCAAGTCTGAAAAGACGTTTAAAACGTCTTTGGGAGTGAATGAGTTAAGAAGCACTGCTTCAGGCATTCAGCTAATAATACCAGCTTAACGTGAAAACAAAGTGTGCTTCTGGAGCTATAATCGGAAAGGCTATTGTTCTGAATACAGCCACATAAACCTCCTTGCCCCGACAAGACAGAGCAGGATCTGGCAAGAAAGAAGTCAGCAGTTGTAGTTGCTGCTCAGCGACTTCACATGAATGACATCACTCATGTGACTCAACCAAATCCACTTCCTCCACTGTCTTCCTTGCTGTGGTGGTGCAATATTGCAAGGACAATCTGCACAGGCATGTGAGGATCAAAGGTTCCCCTGTGATTTTGTTATCACAAAGGAGGTTGTGACATATAGATCAATTGAATGCGTGTTTTTGACTGAACCAGCATACGACCGAATTCGAAACCGCGGGTTTCTGTTATTTGTGAATATGAGCATTTTCAGCACACACATCTGATAGCTGATTGATGTCTTTTATATTTTAAAACTTAAAAAAAGTCATGGAGACACATTTTTGTATGGTGTGTTTTCCCTAATAGGCCCCCAATAATAACTCAGAATAAATCGTTCTCAAAGTAATCTTCCAAAAATGTTTCCATCGAGCTGCCAAGTTCTACTTACTTTGACTAGCAAAGTGCATTAAATTACCGGTATGCAATTTTACCTCGATGTATGCTGGTACAAATTGTCAGTAAAAATACAAGTACTAAAGTAGACGTCAAGATACCAACATTTTGACTTCAATATTATACCTGCCTAAAGTACCTCAGTACCGATACTGAAACATTACCATGGCGAAACTCTATGCTAGTGATTGATGGAAAAATTGAGAAGAAAATCGATGCTAAAAAGATTCACTACTGACAGGCCCTAAACGAAACTTAAGTACCCGTACTAGTGCATAGCATGCCGTAAAGAAAAGAAGACCTTGAATTTCACTTCTGCTGGAAATGATTGTACATTGATATTTAGGTGACCTGCCAAGTTCAAAAATACAAATGCATAAAAAATGCAAGTCTATTACTCCCTTTGCTAAACTCGAATGTCTTGTGACCATCACCATAAGAATGTTGCTAACTGACATGATGTCAAATTGATTGCTGAACTATTTGCACACCAAAATTGCTGGAATGCATGTGTGCAATTGCTTATAAGATGCACGAGATAGTGTTTAGTATTTAAAAAAAAAAAAAAAAAAAGATATGATCCAGCTGCATGCATCTCAAATTTGAGCACTTCAGCTTACCATTCATAGTGCATGTTTGTGTGTTTCAGGTCCCTGAAATCATCAGCACACTACGGCAAGCTGGCAAAAGCTCTGCACGCAATGATGACACTTTTACCATTCCCAACAAGACCTTGGCAGATCCTGGAGACCCCAAGCCATTGGAAACGCACATCACCTTTAATTCTCTTTCCGCAGCAGGTTCTGTGGCGAACAACCCTGCCCTGTCCCCAGCAACCTTTGCCAAAAAGTTTGAGGTGCTCTTTTGTGGCCGTGTGACTGTTGCGCACAAGAAGGCCCCCCCTGCTCTAATTGACGAATGCATTGAGAAGTTCAGCCAGCTAGCTCAGGGCTCAGGGACCACTAAAAAAGGGGTAAATGCCGGGGGATTAGTCGGTGGACTGAAGAGGGCATTAGCTTTCCAGTCTAATGGACTGGGGAGTCCTACTTTAGGTAATGGTGCTACTGGGAGCCCCACCAACGGAAAACGCCCATTGCTATTCAAACGGGACCCCAGCTTTCCATCTCTGCAGGCCCTGGATGAGAATGGACTCTCACCAGAGATCTCTCATGCCAAAACTACAGATGCACTCACTCACTCACCTGGGGTGCAGCCCACCAGCCTTCAGGAGAACAGGACCATGCTGTTTACGGTACGGTTACGACCTGAAGAATATCCATTACGAGCCTTCGAGAACTCACACCAGTAAATACAACATGAAATCTGGGTTCATAGTTGGGCCAGACAAGTAATCCAGCAAAATGCAATAGTGTGCCTGTGCATGATTTTCAGTTGACATGAAGATTGCAACCAGATTGCTGCATTTATTTTTTACTAGGTGCTATCCATGCTTTAGCAATTGGATAATGGCTGTTAGGAGCATAAATTGGGTTCATTGACACCCATATTTGTTTGTTTTATAAAAATGATAAAATACCCCATACAGCCACACCCTTATGACACGAATTGCATCACAGTATTTTGGCATGTGTGACGATTCGTTTTGTAAATGGCGCATTTTGGGGTTGCAAGAAAGGATAATGAGCGATAGTAGTGTGTAAACCTGGGCAGCAGACAATAAGTGGGAACGAACAAAAAGCAGATACTGGCATGACTCAGCTCCACCAATGCTGACTGCTGCTGAACATGAGCCAGGGCACACAGTCGTTATTGACCTTTCGTTGACCTTAGTCACCCCCTGCCAGCACAAATGTTCCTGTTTATCTATCATAGAGGAAATGGCCTGTGCTGACAAGGGAAGCCAACAGACCTCTTTGCTTTTGCTCCTCGTGACACACCAACATAGCATTCTTTTAGTCTCCTGCTCCAGGATGGAGACAGTGACCTCATTGTGGTGATATCATTTCACGTTTGTCTTTCCGATGAAGACTCATTAAATCCATGGCTTCTGTTCGGTTCAGGCTGGAGCAGAGCAGTGAAGGGGAACCCCAGACAAGAATAACCTCTGATTCTGAGGACTCAATAGACATGAGATCACTAGCTCACTGCAAACCACCAAATGTCCTCTTGAGGCTCTGCGATGATAGTGACTCGTGTTCTAATTATGTTTTGAATGGGGGACATTCCTTGGAGCGGAACTATCTGAGCAGAGAAGAAATGAAACTTGTGATTTAACATGTTCAATGGTTTTTAAAGGAATGTAAAAGATTATGCCATATTTGTCATGTAGTCATTAAATAGACGTAATGCAATGGCGTAGTTCATCCCTTTCAGCAAGATTCCCTGTCTGTTATCAGTGTATTCCAAAGTCTTCTTACTGTATGAGCAACTCCCAAATTTTTGAGAATACAGCATGTGATCAAACGCCCATTGGTTGAATTCCCCCCACTGCAATCAGCTTATTGGTGATGTGACTCATGATTGATATGTGAATACAAAGTGTCCTTTTTTATTTATTTATTTATTTTAATGCAACATGCATAACTGTAAAAATTACGATCTTTCTGTTGTAGGTGGGCAGATCACAGATCTTTTTGGTTAGTCCAGACACTAAGAAGGTTGCCATCGAAAAGAGTTTCCGTGAAATCTCTTTCTGCTCACAAGTATGCGCCTCTGGTTTTCAAAACAATGTAATATTAAGACCTGTTTAGTGTCACTTATGCTACTGATGATCTCTTTCTAGGGTATTCGCCATGTGGACCACTTTGGCTTTATTTGCAGGGAGACTATGGAAAGAGGAAGCTGCCACTTTGTTTGCTATATCTTTCAGTGTACGGATGAATCTCTGGTGAGAGTGTTTTTCCAAATCACTCATATGTGCTAAATCTGTGTTTTTCCGCTGAATCAGATTGAATGGAATGTTGGTTACATTAAAATCCCCCAGCTATTAGATTGAGATCATGGTCACATGTATGCAGACCACTTTAGGTCAAGTCAAGTCAGCTTTATTGTCAAATATGCTCTATGAACAACATATAGCACAGATGAAAATTCTTTCCTCTCAACCACAGTCTAAACATGCAGTGCAATGGAAACACACAGCTAAAAATAAGGGCAGCGAAACTGAACTGCATAAAAAAAAAAAAGACAAAGATATAAATATAAACAAAACAAAAATACAATGGACAGAATAACCACACTGAAAATCTTTACACGAGTCAGACTATTTCAGGAAGACTATTTTTCTGTGACCTAAGGCAATTTCCGTGCAGAGAACGTACAAATAGCGTGAAAACTAAAGATTATTTGTTGATGTTTTCTGATACATTTCGTTGTGTGTGATTACATTTGGGAGAGTAGCTCATCTGTAAGATTTGGGGCTTTGGAATTGGAGGTATAAAACAAAAAATGCTACTCGTGAGAGAGATTATAGTCTGCATCCACACTACGTTTGAGAAAAACAGATAAATGAGAAATTTTCACGATTGAACAAAACGGTATCTTTATGTCCTTAGTTGCTACTGCGTTGCAATATACACGCAAAAGCAACGTCGCTTGGCATGTTTGCACATTCATCAGTATTTTATGTGGTTTTTACTTTACAAAGCTAAGGCTCAGTTTTGGTCGACGTCATCAGATGTACTGCATGTAAGTTTGCAATTTCAAAGGTGGTAGGTATACTGTATCGTCACTGATTGAAAACTTACATCGTTCAACAATAGAAATGTGCATGCAAGTGTTTTGTACGTCTTGAAAAGAAGCTTGTTTTGCTCTTGTAGGTGGACGAGATCATGCTGACCTTGAAGCAGGCGTTCTCCGTAGCAGCTGTGCAACAGAATGCAAAATGCCAGAACCAGCAGTGTGACAGTTGCCCCATGCTGCAGCTCCACAAGCTGTGTGAGAGAATAGAAGGTAACAAAAAACTATTTAGCATTAGTTTCAGACAGTGAATGCCATATTTTACATTATTTGTCATTCAGTTTCTAATTAAGCACAAACAACTGACAAATTCTTTATTCTGGATCTCTCCATAGGTCTCAATGCGTCTAAAACCAAACTAGAGCTTCAGAGACACCTGGCTAGTCTGGACAACCAGGATCAAGCTGCAATCTTTGAGAGTACTATGGTAATTTAGACCTAGCTGCAAAGTCAGCTTCGACCGATATATATGTGCGGGCGCAAGGTTTTCCACCTAATTACACTTCATAAAACCAGTTATTGCTTTATGTTCTCTTATGTTATTATATTAAAATTTTAGAATGCAACACTGTTTGTATTCAGTAACAATGTATTAAAAAAACTGTGTTTTTCGCAAGGGGCTGGAATGAATTGAGAATTACATTAAGATCAAAGCAGGAAGTTGATTTGCGATATGAGTAATTTTTGTCAGCATGGTCACGAAATGAATTAAACTGTCGTAGGCTCTCTGCCAGAAATTTCAGTGTAGAAATAAACTTTAGCTGACATCTGCTGGTGATTTTTCTGCACTGCAATACTGCTGTGCACATCGCCCGGAAAACCATACAATGTATTAAAGCAGTAATGTATCAGATGCCTTCAACTATTCCAAATTGTTTGCTAAAACAAGGAGTGTTCTAAATGAATCACCATTTTAAACTACTGTAAACTCCCACAGAAAGAAATATGGACAGTAAACAGGCTTGAATGCATTAATATTTATCAGCATGTCTTGTGTCTTGTAGAGGTCTCGTCCTAAAAGCGAACAGGAAGAAAATGAGCTTACAATGGCATCTTTGAGGAATTTGTATGAGGAGAGACAGAGGATTCATCATCACACTCTGCCAAATGACACCAAGCAGGTCATTTATGTATTTTATTTTCAATTCTCATTTGATTGTGCTAAAGTTCTAGAAGCGCATGGCTGTCATATTTGGTTGGATCTGTTACTCTGGCATTCACTGCGGTTTCTCTGTGTCTCTATGTAGAATGATGAGGCAGCGGCCGCTCCAGTTGAGGTGCAGCAACAAAGTAGCAGTCGACAGCGTCTTGAACAGTTTAAGAGTCGAGCGAAACGCTCGCTAACGGAATCCTTAGAGGGTATATGGAAGGTAAGAGTATGGATAGTCTTTTGGCTAGCACATTGTTTTGAAATAGCATTGGGTCTTTATACCATAAATAGTGACATTCAAACTTAAACAGCATCTATTTGTTCTTGGTAGGGAAGCAGCAAGGCTGTTGCTCTGAGGGGCAACAGTGAAAGGAGCCATAGTGTATCCTCCATTTCTACTGTCAATAGCCAGGACCAGTCCTGCCTAGATGACTCCCGATCTAATTCCTCCCAATTGCACCCCACCAGCTCCCTCAAGTAAATGCATCTGAAAATGTTTATTCCGAATTTTTTCTGAAACCACAATTTTGACCTAACCTTTTTTTTTTTTTGTTATTATACTGTAAACATTTCTAACCATGCTTTTTTTCTCCTTAGGTGCCACAACTCAACAGGAGACTTGAAGCACCTTGACCCCTTTGCTTCCCCATCTTCCTCCCCCTCCTCCTCTTTACCAGGTGATGGTCAGCCAATAGGCTTCCGGAGACGGGCCAGCACCTTCAGCCACCCACCTACACCCTCCTCAGCAGATGATTCACCAGCACGCACTTTAACACATACGCCACAGCAGGACCCTGCGGCTGCTTCAAAACCCAAGCTCTTACGACACTACTCTGTCAGCACTGACACGCCACACCGAAACAAGTAAGAGAAACACAATCATCTTTTTGTCACCTCTGGGTGGCATGAGGAATTGGGATTATTATTTGCTGGATACAAAATTATTGTGTACAGGTTTCACCACTCATGTTAGACCTGTACTTAGCTGAAAAAAACACATTTAGAGTTAAATGCTCACATTCTTTCCCTTGACTTCCTTCTCTCCCTCCAGTCAGTGTTCACTTATGTTATGTGTCCTTGACTTCTTCTGATTTTTGACTATCCACATTTGGACAACTTCTCAGACGTGTTCCATCCAACACCGCCCTTCCTCCCGTTCCTTACTGCTCTTCGTCCTCCTCTCCTCTGCTCCTTCCTTCTTCCCCTTCAACCGGAGCAAGGCTCAGTAAAAGACGGTGAGAATGTTGCGCTGGTTTTGCTTGCATTGTTGCATACAGTGCAAATTTCTGTGTTCAGATTTGTATGCAACATTGTTCATGGCTTCTTCTTTACTTGTTTTATATTCATGTGAGGCTCGGTTCACACAGAGAATAGATTAGACGATTTGCATCAGATGGCATCTTAAAACATTAAAAATGGTAACCTCACTATGATGAAACCAAAATGCGAGCATGACTGCACTGTGCTGTTGAGTGGAATTTTTGCATTTCCAAAACCACTACTTTTATTACACTATCATTGATTAGAATGTTACTGACATGTTGCCACCAATGCCTATAATAACAAATTTTGCTTATTGCCTAAAAGACAGATCTTCAGGCGACATTATATGCTAGGCTCCCGCAGAGTCAAGAACAGCGAGAGTTGTAGTATATGACACTTCTCAGAGAGTTAGGTGTCCAACTAGGGCTGGATGATAATGGGAAAAATAATAATCACAAATATTTTGATTGAGGTTGAAATCACGATTAAGAAAATGATTATTCATTGATGTAATTTTTAAAAATGTATTTAAAGACTAAAACTCAACTACTCAGCAGTGTCATCATAGCCTCATGCCCATTCATCCCTGCGCATTGAACACTTTAATCTTGACTACGCTATTCTTTTGCCTAGCCCTTGGGTCCAAGAGAGTTAATATATCAATCTTTTTTCAACACTTTAAATTGGTTAATAATTTGTTAAATAAATAAATAAATAAATAAATAAATAAATAAATAAATAAATAAATAATAAAATGAAAGGCCGTGTGTTGTTAGTATTGATTTGCAAAAAAAAAAAAAAAAAGTAGTAATATAAAAATTGACCCAACAGTGACAGTTTCCATCCAACAGTGACTATGACATACTTATTGTAATGTGTCTCTATGTGAACGGGACCTGTGTCTTTCTTTTCATCCGCTTACACCATCTACATCAGTCCTCTGGGTGGACTACGTGCTCGACTCCACGCCTCATCCTCTGTTCCTAATTTTTTGAAATTTCAATTTCTGGCTCCTGTCGAAGAAAATGACAGCACAGAAACAACGAGCAGGTACACATGTATCTCAAATAATCATACCAATGTCCATATGAAGACCCAGGCTTCATAGGATCCTCTAAATTGTTTAATACATGTATTGTGTGTTTATTTTCACAGAAGGCCATTGTGTCACTTTGTTTTTAGAGATGTAGCAGCCCTCTATGTATCAAGTACAGAATGTGAAGTTGGGGAAAGCCCTCTGCGTAGTCACCGACACTCCTGGAGGCAGCAGATCTTCCTGCGAGTTGCAACCCCTCAGAAAAACACAGATGTCATTGGTAAGGATTCTGAGCAAATAATGAATGAAATAAATACATGTACCGCCTTTGAACTAAGACATTTACTATTTCATCTATCATTGGTAAGCCATGTTTTAATGTAAAAGAAGAAAAGAAAAGTTAAATTTAAGTCAGTTATAGCATTTTGATTGCTAGACCCTCTCTGAAAAGCCACTTTATTCAGCTCAAGGGAAACATGGGTTTAATCATAATAAAACACATAGTAAGTAGACATGATTATCACATTTACATTTTTGAATCACTTGAAAACACACTTCAAAACAATCTTTCAACCGATGCAGTAATAGAGTCTTACCATGTCGTGTCACTCTTTCATCTGAAATGATGTTGACATGCAGTCACACTAGAGGAAGGGAGTAGGGTACAAGTACTGTAGTTTTGTCCTCCTCGTTGTGAGATGTCCACATTTTTCTCATAGCCACGATATGTCAACTGCATATTATCACGAGCATATAGTACATTATTATTTCCCCCAGTGTTAAAATTTATTATTAATTACCATGATGAATTCATCGAGGACCATTCATCTCTAGGTTTTAAACTTTACTGATAACTTTAGTGCTTCTAATCTCAACAAACAATCAATCTTGTTCAGTAGTGAGAATCATGCTTGTGCCTGCCCGTCTTCAGATCTTGTGTTGTGATAATAACGCTGCATGTACTATCTGTGTAACTTTTTGATAGTGTGTGACATTGAATTTGTGACAGATGAGCTTGTTTGGTATGTCACACTGCCCCATTATGTTAAAAATGTGAACCTTTTAGGGTAATGTTCCACAGACACCAAACACTCTTATCTGGCTCACAAAGAAAGCAGAGATAATCAGTCATATTGTTTGTCAACATAAGACATGTAAAAAGTAGAAAAGAGTGTAGGTTCCAGATTTTTGCTTGTAATGGCGCTATGGTGTTCCTCGTCTTCTTTTTTTGTCAGCAAGTTAAGAAATGTCACTTGACTGAAAAAAATACATATATTTGTCAGAACAAAATTAATCTAAAACCAATCACACTTTGCCCATTTGTTCATTTCCATGTCACCGGTGGCATTGAAAGTGGAAAAGGGACTTTGTATCAACTGCTTGTGTTGGGTGTGTATTTATTTATTTATGCGTCTGCATATATACAGTGCATGAGCTCATGGGTGTGTCAATGAATTTGTGTTAGGGAGGGCGTCGGAGTCTCAAGGTCGTGTTGACTGTCCACACAGACAGCGCCAAAGGAAAGCGCCAGCCTTGTCGACCCACTTTTCATGGTGTGCGTGTGTAAAGGAAAGATAAAGTTGTAAGTTGGGAGTGTGTATGCACGGTTGTGCCCAATTTATTTATTTATTTTTCCTAGGCGTTTTTGGATCAATGGAGCATTTCATAATTCCAGATTTGAAAGCATGTTGATGGTACTCTGGTTTATGAGGACAATAGCACTGTTGGCATTGCATGTCAACCCCAGATCACCCACTTAAAGGGGCTTTTCTAAGTGAGTTCTATCATCCAATGATTGTTTAACATTTTTGTTCACTGCTGAGGACTGATTGAAGTGGTGTAGCAGTCTTTGTCTGACAAATGCATTTCTCTCAAAGACTGTGTGCATTTGTTCAGAGCCTTACAGTATGTTTGCTTAGTGACTATGCTGAATGTTTCAGTACATATTTGGAAGCCTCCCTGACACAGACAGAGGGGTAGACATCAACGTCATCCTATGGCACAAAAAAAACAAAACAAACAAACAAACCGTATTTTTACCATGTGTGTTGTGTGGATGTACAGTATTTTATTTACAGTATTTTACAGTACTTTCATCTCAAACTGCTTTAAACAACAGAGCGTATGAGGGAAAAGTGGTTAGGTTTGCATGACTGTCCGTGTTTTATGTTATGTGTTTGTTTATTATTTTACTTTATGTTAACTGTTTTGTTAAGTGCTTTGTTACAGCTGCAGCTGTTGTGAAAGCGCGATATAAATCAGGATGTATTGGATTGGATTGGATTGGATTGTATATGTAGTTGAAGTGCCATCTAGCTAGTTGTCACTGGATGTCCTTCTTGCAGACAACACAGGGTATTTTGAGGTTTGGGATCCACCCTGTACTTTAGGGTGGAGTCTCACAACATGTTTTTTTTTTTATTCTTAGTGTTGTGTCCAAATATACAAAACTGCAATTTCTATTTATTTATTTATTTTGCTTGAGTGGCCCAAAGGGTTGAAAGAGGAGCTCTGCCAGCCATGTTAGAGTATGAAAGAAAGACTTATATATTAGACTTAGGCTGTCATAAGGAGTTTGTATTGTATGTTTGTTTTTCTTTTTATTTGCTCTTAAAGCATAGCTAAGTGACGAGACATTCCTAGACAGTGTTGTGAATAGTAGTCTGATGATGATTGATCTTTTATGATCATTATGTATTTTCATTTTATGTTTTTAATTAGTATTCAATTTGTTGATCATTGTTTTTATGTTCAGTTTTTATTGTTGGTGGTTAAAATTAAATATGTGTGAACCTTGGAACGCAATTTGTCCAGTGATGCTGGTTATTTGCAGTCCAAAACGAATTTTCCACTGGAAAATAATGTCAAGTGAATTATGGTACTATAAATGGTCACCATGAAACAAACAAACAAACAAAAAAAAGCCCAAACTCCCCCCCAAAACTTATTTGCTGTGCTGTTTTTTTTTTTTTTTTTTAATCAGCACGAATATTCCTAACTTTTGTCCATGGGTTAAGATAAATTAACTGCTATAGACTAGAATACAACGAGTTACCCTTTGAAGACACCTGACAACCATAAAATAGTGAGCAATTGTTGACAAGGTTCTCTTGTCATTTGAATGCTAGTGATTATCCATCATGTTGTTGCTAACTGCTATTTATAGTAGCATCAGCTTGGAAAATTGTGATTTTTGTGTACAACATTGATGATTTCATGTCTTAGGTTATGTAATTGACATTGACACTGTTGACATCACTGCTTCTCTGGTTCATCACACATTTTCTTTTGCTATCCTAAAAAACATGACATATGAGATTAACATCGGGGTGATCAACTACTAGTTTCTGGAAAAGTTCGACACTATGAGGGGTATTCCACTGTATACACTGACGGTGTATGTACGTAATACAACCTGTATCTGCGAACCTGTATCTGCGAACCATCTTGAAAGTATATTTGCAATTTGCGCTTTTATTCCCCCATCCATCCATCCATAATGGTCAAAATGCTAACTTTTTCCCTGGTAATTGCCGCAGCGAACACCTCAACTGGTTTAAATGTTTTCTGATCTGGTCTTGGGCCGCAAAATCTTGTGCCTTTCAGAGCGCGGAGACAATCTCGATGGGGGTTGGGCATGTGGAGGCCAAGCTGTTGGTGCAGGAAATGTGGACTTGCCCATGAGGGCTCAGCCCGAAGAGCGAACCAGAAGGAGCAAAGAGGAGTTGAGGGAACTATGGAGAACAGCCATTCTGCAGCAAATCCTCCTGCAAAGGATGGAACGAGAGAACCAGAAATTGCAGGGTAAGTTAAACAGGTGAAGGGTGGGAGAACTGCATTTGCTTCCACCTTCCTGACCGTGTGTATGTTTTAGTTCGCACAGACAAAACACATTCCCAGCAAGTATTTGTATTTGTGTATACAGGTTTATACAACAGTCTTCATCATGTTACATTGATAATAATGTAACATAAGTCTAATAGTCATGTGTGGCAGTCTGCATTTTTGAGATATGCTTGCACATGCATAATTGATTAAGTGCACACCTGTTTTTTTTTCCTTAACTTAAACTCATCACAAATGAACACATTGTAGACGTATAAATGCATTTTTTTCAACTTGTTTGGCGCTTGGTACATCCATGGGTGTGCTAAATGCTCCACCCATTTCCTGACCTAGTTGCCTTGTATCAACACACAGCTAAGTATGTACCACACCCCTTACTGCCTTATTACCTACTCAGGTGTTGATATTATATGTGAGTCAAGAGTGATGTAAGAAAATAAATCCTGATCATCGACCGCACTCTAGTTTAGCCTTTTCCTATCGCTATCACACACACATGCCAAACACAACTTCAGTTATGTTTTTTCCCCCCTCTGTGAGGTTAGAAGATGCATCTATGGCAGGTGTGTGTCTGCATGAAAATTGGCTCCCTGTTGCTGTCTTCTAACCATTTTTCCACCACATCTTAGTCTGGGGAATATTATTTAATTCCAATGACAGACATCGTATGTTAGAATTAACGAGCAAATATTGGAAATAGAAACATTTATAATTTTTGCAAGATATACCGATTTGAATCATCAAATTTATTTTGATGTGACAGACCAACTCGACTGTTATATTTAAAAAATGTTTGCATTCTTGAATCCCATCATGCCCCATGTATTGAGATACCCCCTCTCCTTTCAAGTATTTATTTAGAGTAAAGACTACCATTTCATTTGGGAAATGTAGGCAATGGAAAAAAAACAGTGAGGGGTCATATCACCTTTCCAATTAAATGAGCTCAGGACACATGGATTGAAGCACAAACGTTACCTGATGTGAAAGAAGGTGAGTCATTTATTTAAATTTGGTGGAAAAGCAGCGACTTATCTCTGTCTCTTGTCACTTATGGGTCAACTGGGTGTATCTTTGCATTTGTGCGCATGCGCCTGAGCATGTGAGTGTGTGTGTCCATGCGTGCGTCCGTGCATGCCTCAGACAGCTCCTGGGTGTAATGTCAACAGTGCTTTTTGCATGTTATCAAGGGAGGAGTTTTCCAGAGAAAAGCAGCTCTGCTTTAAGAGGCGATAGGGTTGTGCTGGGCTTGACCATGAGCTGGGCCACAGCCTGCGAGTATTTCCGAATGGACTTGTCTCCAGTCTGCTGATAAGACCAAGTGTCTATTCTTACCCTGTGTGTGACAGCTTTGTGCTCTCTCCAAAAAACATCCTTATATTGCCTAGAGCAGTGTTCACCAATCTTTTTTGAGCCAAGACACATATTTTATGTTACAAAAATCTCTCTACACTATATTAAACAAGTCATAAGTGTCACAGTGTATATTGAAATGCAGATCAGATTGTCTCAATTTACTCACAAATGTACTTGCTTTGTGAGAAATCTGGGCCTGCTTATTTGAACACAACACTTTTGTTTTTAATAGTTTTTATGGCAGTCATACTGAAAAAGGTTAAAAAAAAGCAGTCACTTGCGAGCCAATAGTATGAAATGTGTGATTGAATTGCATAATCTACTGAATTGCATAATCTACACGTCATAAATAAATTTTAGCATAATTTTTAGTGTCACTTTTAGAATCATGTCTTGATCAAGCAATTTTCATAAACTGCATGACTTACAACCTAAACCAATTGAAGTGAATTTGCCTTTGTGCATGACCCCACAAAAATAAAACCAATAATACTGTTGAACATGGCTTAACAGAAGCAGCTGTTCTGGTTGATCATCCATGTACTGCTGGTGATGGCGCAAGCACACTGTAGCACTGATTAAAAGTGCCATACTTAGACTTACACAAACCAGAAAGACCTCTCCTTGGTTATTTTTCTTCTCCTCATGCCTTCCGTCCTCCAGAAAAAGTGTCACAAAACATCAAAAGAAAGAACAAAACGCACAATTGTGGAGAATCAAACGCACGCATGATATCCTCATTCTTTTTGGTGCTGTCAAGCGATTAAAATTGTTTTATCCAATTAGATGCAAAATATTCCGTAATTAATTGAGATTAATTGCATTTCTGTACTTATACTTTCTACAAAGCTTCTAACAGATATTTGCTTGAGTAAAAAAAATATATATATGTACCGTATTTAAATTCAAATCTCTTTAATACTTGAATGCAAATGATACAAACTGTGCTACAGTTAACGCTTTGACTTTGACACACTTCATTATGACAAGTAAAGCTCAATATTTTCTGATCTTTAAAACTGTATTCTAATTTGATAATGTCTCAGTTCAACATTGTCGCTCACAATCAAGCTTGTAATAGCTGGAGTGTCATCACAATGACATCACATGACTTTTGTTATCACTGTGGTCGTTTCATAGCACTTAATAATCTTTGCTTTTTCCTGGGGGGGCTATGGAAACATTTTGGATCAGGCTGTGGCCTCTTTCACTCCTCTTCTGTCCTGCGGTGATGATGTCATTCTTAGAACATCTGCCAAGTTGCAGCTGGTCACATAGAAAAGACCACGGACGGAGAAAATGAGAGTGGGAAAGCAGTTGACAGACAAGACAAACAAGAGTTTGAGCAAGAGAGGCCTGTTGAGTTTCAGCACGACAACCGCAAGAGAAAAATGGGGCGGTGGGTTAAGAGATTGGGGAGGCAGCATGAGGAAGGGTGTTGTCAAAAACAGGAACAGATTAAGCCCTTTGGGTGTTCCCTCACCTTCTTTGATCGTGGTTGTTAACGGAAATTTACAAGTTGTCCCTTGATGGGTTTTTTTTTTTTTTTTTTTTTTTTTTTTAACTCTTGATAATTCAGTCAGTGGCTGCAAAGGTAACCTGCTCGAAAAACTCAACAGTCTCCATAAATAAGCTATGACCTGGTTGCAAACACATATATTGGAACATGATTATCTGACGTTTATGTTCATGGTCCAAAGTATGCTGAATTCGCACCGCAGGATATTGTAAGAGCTGTGATCCTATGTTCCATTTTAAAATAACTTTCCTGTGAATAAAAGGTCATTGATGATGGGGGAGGACATGCTGCTTATCTTGCTTCAGATGTGATTCTTATGTCAGGGTGATTGGCAAACCTTTGCTCTGATATTTCCTGATGACATTTTTTCCTTCTGAGTGTGTAGAATTTCTTCCGTGGGAGTAATTAATATTACAGTATAATGCGTTTGATGAACTTTCCCTTTTGTCAGTGAGCGGAGCAACACCAGGCAGGTACGGGAATAAAGCAGGACTAGGATATGGAATGATTACGCAAGCTTCAAACATCTACTGTTTGATCAATCATTCCACAATCCATAATGAAAGACGTGATTAGCTCCATACAAAGGAGATGCATGGGGCAAATGGTGGTCACATCAGATACTGACTGACCGGGCCTTAGCATATAGTCTTTACAATGGTTTTTCATTGGTGGGCAACCTAAGGCACACCTGTGCAATAATCATGCTGTCGAATCCACATCTTGATATGCCACATCAGAGAATATCTTGACAGAGGAGAAGTGCTCGATAGCACATAGTTAGACTGATTTATGAACATTACATGAAAAAAATAGGTCCTTTATATACTGTACATGGAAAAAGTTGCTGATCTTGGATTCATGGAAAATGGGAGCAAAAATGAGATGGAGTTATATTTTCATTTCAGCGCAGAGGCGTACACGTGGCACAAAAAGCCACGACAGACTACTTACTGCATGTTTGGACTTCCACATTTGTGTAACGTTGCCGCCGCAGGAACGGAACTCCTTCATAAATCGAAGAGTCCATGTCTGTCGTATGATTGTGATGTCAGGTTCTCCCAGTTCCACTGGTGGTAGCTCATCCAGAGGCCACCCGCATGACAGGCAAAGTGGTTCCTGCCAAGTCACATGATTGATGTGCGTTCCTTGTGTGTTGATGTTTGCAGCTTCTGAGAGTGATTTGCAGAACAAGCGTCTCAAGCTGGACTATGAGGAAATCACTCCTTGTCTCAAGGAGGTCACGTTGGTCTGGGAGAAGATGCTGGGAACTCCTGGAAGGGCAAAGGTCAAATTTGACCATGAAACCATACATTTGTCAGTTGCACAAGGTGTGTTTGCCTTTGTTTTATCAGTACTGGCTCTGCCACTAGCTGCAAATATTGACCAAAGCTTAATGTATAATGCGCCTGACGGCAACAGTGTCCTACAGCCTCTTTCCTTATCAGCTTTGGCCCTTTCCCCCCCAGCTCTGCAAAGGAATCTGAGTTGATCCCATTCCTTTTTCCCTTTGAAGAAGAGGGATTCTTTCGTTTTCGATTGTTTATTTATTTATTTATTTTTAATGAGGAAACATGTTAACCTGGGCTGCAACCAAGCTAAGTCTTATTCTACTGCCTACAGGGGTGCCGAGGCAGCATCGAGGAGAGATCTGGAAGTTCCTCTCTGAACAGTATCTGCTCAAGCAGACGGTCCCCTCCCGTCCACCGACCAATGATTCGCCATACAAAGAGCTGCTCAAACAGCTGACCTCACAACAGCACGCCATCCTTATAGATTTGGGTAACCCACTGCACTATACACTGGAACCTCGGTTTTTGCGATGAGTCTGTTCCAGGTAGTCTGACTGAAAACCGACATGCACTTGCGCTTTTTGTCGTATTGTGAAAAAAGTGGTCCAATAGATGGCAAGGCGTATTCCACAATACAAGTATTCATGAAGGCAACAGCAACTCTCCCGGTCTGCTCGGCAACAGCGATGACAGTCGGGGCGACAACACATCCTGCCAAAATTCAGTCCTTCAAAATGAAAGCACGCTACCAGTATATCAGCACAATTTTGCCACGCTTCCTTGTATTTTGAAGCGCTGACCTTTGACAGGATGTGTTAAGTTGATGTTGCCAGAGTGAAAGCTTGCATTGTGAAATACGTCTTGCCGTAGGTTGACTCCTTGTTCATTCATTTAAAATAATTGAAGAGGTAATCCTTTGTTGAAATGCTTTGGATGAACGTGTGGGGACAATAGTCACTCAACAAGCAACAAAAGTACACCTGAGTAAATGGAATGGCGCACTGTTTCCGGGAAATTCATAGCTTAGTCATATGTTGTTTTGTTTTGATTGGTTTATTTTTTTGCGTCAATCATACAAAGACAAATGCATCCGAAAAGTGAGGTTCTGCTGTATTATATATATTTGGAATGCAAACCTAACATCAATTACTCCTGCACAACAGAAGACATCAATATGAGATTGTAAAAGTCTGCAGTTGATTGACAGCAAAGTCACCGTATAATAATATATTTATTACTATTGTGGTTGCAGTTTGTAGGCGCACACCCACGGTGCAAGATGTGTCTATTGTATTTTCTACACAAGTCAAGTATGTATCAGATTGAGCATGTTTTAGTTTACACATATTCACTTCAACATTTTGTTTAGTACTATTAGATTTTTAACGTTCTTCACCCTTCGCATTTTACACCCCAAACCCACACAAGCATAGTGGCAATCACCCCACCCAATTTACTCCCAACGCCTACACTTGCACACACGAAGTGCACACACAGCATGTCTTCTGTTGTTTGACTACTTAAATCCCCAGTACTGTACACATCGCAACTGTGACCTCACATAACCCAAAATTGAGTGGTTGTTATGAGAATGTTATAAAACAGTTACAGTGTGAAAACATCCAAAATACAGACCGTGGAAAGGTGAGGTGACATGAGGACGGCGTCCAATTTATGACTGATGGATGGGAAGTGCAGCCCTCATACACGCTCCTTAGAGTCACAATACACACACACACTTTTCCTTCAGGCGGGGGAGGGAGCCGAGGTATAGTCATCAGCACAAAACAAAAAAAGCCCCCACAGCACATTCCACACATACACGCTCACGCGGTTGCCATTGTCTTTGCCAAAGTTTTGCCGCCCCTCACTGTAAGTGGAGAAGCCCTCAGCCGCAAACCGCACACACCTGCCAATTATCAACACATCCACCGAGGGATGACTTCAAGCAGTCTTCACTCCTCTGTATGTTATGTCTTTTTTTTTTTTCTCAAAAGAGACACATGTCATGTCAACAGTTTCACATAAAGCCTTTTGAGGGAGGGTTATGCATACCCCACAAAGCCACATTAAGGTGTGTGTCTTTATGGACATGTTTGTAAGCATGATGCTGTATAATGGGTTGGCACTCAAAGTGAAAAGTCTAGGTTCCCTTGGTTCAGCACAGGTGATGCATGCACGCGCGCGCGCGCACACGCACACACACCAAAAGCTTTGTTATCTGATTCGGGGTTGGATATAAATTAAGTGAAACGATGTTTGTATTCAGCCCAATGTTTTCACATAACAAAGGGGAACGATGTCCTGTAGCCTAAGTGTTATATGCCTTTTGTCTGCTCTCTCAGGTCGCACTTTTCCCACTCATCCCTATTTCCAAGCCCAGCTGGGGGCGGGACAACTGTCTCTGTATAATATCCTCAAGGCCTACTCGCTGCTGGACCCTGAGGTATCAAACTGATTTTGTACACATTCTCTTGTCCCTTAATTACTGCATAAATGTCACATTTATCTCATCGTTCCAATAGGTGGGATACTGCCAGGGCTTGTCCTTCATTGCTGGAGTTTTGCTGTTACACATGGGGGAAGAGGACGCCTTCAACATGCTCAAATTTCTCATGTATGATGTCGGCCTCCGCAAACAGTACAGGCCAGATATGATTATCCTGCAGGTAAAGTGCACCAGCAATGCCTTCTTTATTTGTTGGTAATTAAGGAATCACTTAAGTATTCCTCATGATTAAATTGCACAAAAGTTGTGACTGCAGCTCAAAGTCCACAGCGATTCATTCACACACATCAAGCCGTTTGGGTAATGAAATCATTGTGAAGGAAGGCTTTTGATCCTCTTCTGTTGCTATGATTACAAGGATTATGTTAGCCAATTATGAACAAAGATGAACAAGTTTGCTTAAGTAAAGCTACACGGTAACTTATGTGTGGTGTATGAAAATGAAAATGTTTGATTGGCTTTACTCTTGGCAGCAGCAACACTTGCCAGAGTTGTGTCACTTCTTTTTATTCTCAGTAAAGCTTCGGCACTCTCAGTTGTAATAATTGAACCATGTTCTTGTAGTTATTATTAGAAGCAGGTAACATCATGAGAGGAATCAAAGACTACTTTGAATAATGCAATATTGTTTTTAACGCACCTGAAAAATATTCCTGCGATAGAAACGCAAGTATTTGATTTTTACACTCACTTTTCCATTATTTTGTTGCCCTGTTTGGTTGCTCTGAATATCTTACAACCATCCATAAAAGTTTGCTTCAAGAAAATAACTCAGCCAAGCTACGGCATTGAGTAAAACCTCGATTTCATGTGTGCCTCCAACAAGATTCAGATGTACCAGTTGTCACGTCTGCTCCATGACTATCACCGGGATCTCTACAGCCACCTGGAGCAACAGGAGATCGGGCCCACTCTGTACGCCACGCCATGGTTCCTCACCGCTTTTGCCTCACACTTCCCCCTCGGCTTTGTGGCAAGAGTCTTTGGTAAGATTGATTCATCTTTTCTTTCGTGGAGGGCAGCATGTTGGTGAACCCTGTTTCAATTCGCCAGCTCACTGCATGTTGGAGACAGTGCAGCTGCACTGAGGCAATTTTTTTCACGTCTTTTGGTCTTCAGTTTTTTTGGTAAATGTAAATGTTTCTGACAGACATTCCATTTAATTTGGTTTCTTTATGTTGATCACCATTTTTTTCTCTCACGATAAATACTTCAGGTTCTCAGTTTAGCCTGTAGGAAAATGTGGAAGTGGTTCAAACTAGAAAAAAACTACTGTGGATGAGTAAATTAACTCTATCTGCTTGATTTTTAATGACATTTGCTATAAGACTGCAACCAAGTGTGTTTCTGAAAAGATGGGACAGATGGATCAGATATATAACACCTGTATGATCATCTTTTATCTATTCCTTAATTTTATGTCAGTCTTTTTCCAAATATAAGTTACACCCCAGTATTCTGACACTTCTTGGACACCTTTTCTAATTCATTTTGATTTGAGATAAATGGAAGGCACCGAATTAAATATTTCCCTTTTTTTTTATTGTGTCATCTTTTTTTTCATGAATGTAAACGGCATGGTCACACCCACACTCCTTTGTCATTTCTGTACTTTCCCTTGTTCATCTCCATTTTTTTCACGCCCAATTTCTTACATGGTGCTCAGTTACTGAACGAGACTCTGCCTCCTTGGGCTCATTGCAGCATGGCTATGTGTGTGTGCGTGCGTGCGTGCGTGCGTGCGTGCGTGCGTGCGTGCGTGCGCGTGTTAGATTTATATATTGGATTTGATGCCTCCACTCCCATTTCTTTTAAATGGTTGTATGTTCTCATGTAACCCTCACCACACCCTCATACATTCAAAGCATGCATTCACACACCTACTCTGGCTCACTATATTGTGTCACAAGTTTCCCTCTTTGCCAAAACAAGTTATTGACGCCAATGAATGCACTGGTTAAAAAGTAATTCCAATCATCCCATGTTGTGCAATTATTCCATTCGACCGGTCACGTTATGACATTTTCTGTTTTCTTTCCTTTTGTCAGATATGTTGTTCCTCCAGGGGCCAGAGATCATCTTTAAGGTGGCCCTGAGTCTCCTGGGGAGCCACAAGCCTCTGATCTTGCAACATGACAGCCTGGAGTCCATTGTGGACTTCATCAAAACCACACTGCCCAACCTGGGCCTGGTGCAGATGGAGAAAACCATCAATCAGGTGAGAGTGATGAAAGCAATCACCAAACTCTTTCGTGGCTTCTTGACTCGAGTCATTGAGCAATTATTTACAGTAGCTCTCGATGAATGTGTTCACAACGGAGTGCCTGCAGCAGCCAATAACAAGCTTAAAATATTTAGGCTCAAGAAACACTCATCTCCTTGTGTGGAGGAGGCTGCCACAAGCTTCTCCTCTAATTTCTTGGTCACCGTAGTGACGGGTGCCTCCTTTCTATGAAGTATGAGTGTTTATCTGAAATGGAACGGCCGTGTTGACAACGCTGGCTCAACTTTCAAGTGCGAGCACTTGGTGTGGTCGCTCAGCTGTGAGAGCTGCGCTCCATCTCTTTCCTGCTCTCACAGGCTTGTTTGAACTTGCCGTGGCCTCAAAGCCACTTCCACCCATCCGTGGACATGCTGCTTTTTGTATAACCTGCAGTTGTCGTCTTCAGAGGTTAAATTTAAAGGAACCTGAAGGAGCTCATAAATATTGGAAAAACACTTTTTTCTCTTCATCTTTTTTGTTTGATTTGTTGCTTCAGGTGAATGGACACACCTTATTTATATCTAGCTAGCCTGTCTGGGTGTGGCAGTGCTGCCTTTTCAATGCCCGCAGCCAGGAAGTCACTCAAGGGCCAAAAGCTAATATCTCAACCAGATGTGTTGACACCTGATGAGCAGGTTCTCATGGGAAATTCATCTTAAAATATATGCGTACTTTCATTGGTTCACCTACAGTTTTAACGCCTATATTTTGTTTTAATTGTGGATGTTAATTAAAACATACCCTAACTCTTGTTTATGTTGTACAAATGTTTCTCGAGATAACACATTTTCATTAGACAATGACATTAAATTAAAATAAAATCCCAAGAATTTAAAACCTGCATTGCAGAACGTTGGTCACACTGTCGTTAAAACTATCTTTGTATGTTTTAAACCAAAAGTGCCCAACAGTCGATCGTGGTCAACTCGTAGGCCGTGGACTGGTCCCAAGTCGACCGTGAGGGCTAGAGGGGTTTTTATGTGTGTGTGCTTGTTATATATTCTTTGCAGTAGTGTACACTATCAGAAAAGCAGATCTTTGATTAAAATCCTACACTGTCCATTTACTGGCCGTCCGAATTCAAAAAGGTTGGTTGTACAACCCCCAAGGAGATTAACGGTAAAGGTGAAAAAGTGGGACCGGGAGTGGGGAGGCCATCAGGAATTTGGGGAAAATATGTCAATTTTCCAGAGCGGTCGGTGTATTTCCGGGCTGGTGCCGGCCGGCCATCACGGCAGCTAGCAAACATCTTTTTTGGCAAATGGCGGCCGCCAATGACGACTATTCCTGCGCCAAAATTTGGTCCCAGCACGTCCCTGGCTGTGACAGATATCTTGAGTAGTGTTTGATATTTCAGAGAAATCCCCCCAGTGAGCCTGATCTTCAGTGTCAGCGAAACAACCAATAGGAAGACACTATAAACATTAACATCGATGCATCCACGCAGTCACAAGCAAGTAGCGCGAAACACATAAGAAATGTAAGCATGGACTCAGAAGTGCATTGTGCCCATGTTACCTGGCTAAACCTTCATTGTTGGAAAATGTAAACCTTTTGGCTCACAGTTGCCATAACAACAACATGCGGTGGACTCAATGATACTGCGTTTAGAGCCCAACATTCACTTTGTCCTAACCAAGATTCAATGTGTGCTCCATGGGACCGTGTGAACATTCAATAAATGAATTGATTCCTTGGTACACCAAGCTGTGTGGTTTGCTTTCATCTTATAGAAATATTAGATCAGTATTGCATTGTTAACTGTGTTTTCATGCGCGTAAATTTCTTTTGTGTTAAATTTACTGAAAAAATGGTTCAATTCACCTATTGTCAGCAACCTCATGACGAAATGCAAAAACCTGCCCCATTGCGTCTTGTGATGATGTGAGCTGTTGATGGGTGGAGCTCATTTAGTCTCCTGCTTTGGCATTAGTGTTGAAGAGGACTAGAAAAACACTGAAAATCATCAGCATGACACTCTGAGTTAACTGACTCATCATACACCCCTTCAGCCATGGTTTTTCCTTCTCGTGTTATTATTTTGACTAATGCTTAGCGTGACGGTAATTTTTACCTTTCTATGTGTCAAACATGTTATCAGGTAGCTCCGGAAGCGTGTGTTGACTATATAATTAGAATGAAATAGCAAGTAGTGGCAATCGAGTCATGCAGTAGCTTGCAGGTAATTTCCCTCCAGTACCATCTGGTCATGTTATGTTGACTATAAGCAGCCTGATGTGTGACTCACATTTTCTCATACACAATACAGAAAGTGAGTTTAAAAGATGGTGTTAGAGTGACAAAGTCACGTTTAAAATAATGATAGCGGATAGCTGCCCTTGAGGACCAGAGTTGTACATGCCTGCTGCAGATGCGAGCCAGGCAGCAGCTAGTCAGTTATCACTAGCGGCTAACATTAGCAATCCACTCAACCACTCTATTATGCTGAGGTTGTAAATTTTTGCACCCGATTGCAGGTTTGTGAGATGGATGTGTCCAAACAGCTTCAGGCGTATGAGGTGGAGTACCACGTCTTGCAGGATGAACTCCTGGACACGCCCCCGACCCTCAACCAACATCAGCGCGCTGCACAGCTGGAAAGGACCAATCAGAGCCTGCGACAGCAGAACCTTGATCTCCTCGAGGAGCTGCAGGTCCATACAGTACACTCATCAATAGAACATTGTTTTCTCCTTTCTCTATTGCAGTGATGTTTACGCTTGTTTGCATCCTTAGTTTCCTAAATTGTAGATAAAACTATGGCATGTAGAACTTTCCTAAAAAGCAACGGTCAGTGCCAAGATAGAAGTGAATTTTTTGTCCGTATTATGTGAAATTACTCTGGACTGTCCATTTTGCCCAAAAATTTGAGACAGCTCAAGAACCTTTGCATTTACTTGCTATGTGATGTGCAGAAAGTCAATCTGCCAATTTATTTAGCCATTTCACTTGTTTAAATTGCTGCTAAACTTATGCTCCACATTTCAGCCCAATTGCTGGCCACAATGCACAAATGAGCTGCTTTTCAACTGTTTACACTGACATGTCGCTGAACAGAGAGGAAGTAGCTAGTCTACTAAGGAGGCAGGATTCCTGTTGCACCCCGGACTGGTCGCCAGTAAATCACTGGGCTCATATAGACAAACCACCACTCAAGTATTCTGTCTAACATGTTCTGGGGCTGTTGTCTGAGGTGACATTTAAACCTTGCCTCTTGGGCGGACATGAAATCTATATGCTCCTCTCTGCTGCCCCCCGCCCCCACCCCCCACCCCCGTCTTTCCCGCCCAGGTCTCGTATGCTCGGGTGTGCAGCCTAGAGAGTCGAGTGGCGGCACTGGTACAGTCAGAGAGCAAGTTAAAGGAGCAGGTTTCTTCCCTGGAGGTGGAGAAGCAACAGCTGGCAAGCACGGCCGCGCGTCTCCAAAACCTGCTCGCCAGCCTGGGCATACAAACGACTCCTGATGGCCATAGCCTGCCCCCGGCCGACGCAGAATTATGCGCAACCCAAATCACAGTGGGTATGCAAGCAAGTCATGAGGATTGGACTTTGGACTCCCTGCACCAACCTGTGTGCGTAGTGGAGAAGGTGGTCACTGGACAAGAGGAGACCTGATTCTCAATGTAGTACATCCTCTGCTTTAGCTCCAGGCCTCTCAAATTAAAAGCGGAGCAGGTCAGAGACAGGAGCATCGTTTCCAAACCTCTTGTGTGATAAACCAGCATGTGATTAGACCAGTTTGTCCCAAAGATGGCACTGCCCCCCAAACCCCCAATGGTCCTCACATTAGCACTTGTACTGTAAGCTACAAGAAGCCAGCACACCATGCGAGCCATTTGTTCCCAAAGAGTGTAAAAGTGAGCACGTGTACGACTGAAGAAATAAATTTCACTCATAAAGCATTGAAGAGTCCAGAAAGACGCAAGCTAAATGATGTTGGCTCATGCATTTCATATTTCATTTATGTTACAAGAAGAACAATAGTCTGCAGTTGCGCCTTCAAGTCAAAGACTTTCACTTTTTTTAACTTAAAATGTCCTCGTGAGCATGAACCTTTACTGTATTGGTTACACTGTATCCCTTCCACCAGACCTGCCGTCTCAAGCCATGTATGCAAGTGTGTTTGTGCACTGGTCGCAGCAATCAGTTGGCGTTACACTGTAAACATATTTTATCCACTGCACCTGTTTTGTTTTGTTTTAACTGATTATTCTATTCTTGCTAATTTACACTTAAATATATTCAATATCATTTAAACACAAACCTGTTTCTTTGTGGTTGTGTGTAAAATGCTCTCACGGGTGCCACACGTGCTTAAAGATGGTGTTAGTATCCCTCTTGTCTAAACACGCCAAGTCAGTAAACACTACGTACCTCATATAATGATTGAATACATGGCAATATAACTGCAGGACGCACAGCATTTAAAGAGCAAACGTATGCTGGTTTCCAGGAATTCCTCGTGGTTGAAAGGAGAGTGGGGAGAATGAACGTGTCGGCACAAGTTGTCTCTTTGTTAGTGTTTGTCACACAAACTATCAGCAAAAGAATACAATTGGCATCGGTAGAATTTTAAGGTCACACTTAAACTCAGCTTCATTTCTAGAAAACTGGCCATGGGGAATTTCTGAAAAATAGTTCATTTTCCAAAACAGCCGGTGTATTTCCGGGCCAGTACATGTGAAGATAAAACATGCCCAATGTGGGTATTTTTCATTTCTCATCGAGGTTTAATGCACTTGACTTGCAGGTTGGGATTCTTTGCAGTTTTTTTTTTTTTTTAGTGGCCCGTTTTCTTTTTTTTTTTTTTAGTGGCCCGTTTTCTTTTTTTTTTTTTTAGTGGCCCGTTTTCTTTTTTTTTTTTTTAGTGGCCCGTTTTCTTTTTTTTTTTTTTAGTGGCCCGTTTTCTTTTTTTTTTTTTTAGTGGCCCGTTTTCTTTTTTTTTTTTTTAGTGGCCCGTTTTCTTTTTTTTTTTTTTAGTGGCCCGTTTTCTTTTTTTTTTTTTTAGTGGCCCGTTTTCTTTTTTTTTTTTTTAGTGGCCCGTTTTCTTTTTTTTTTTTTTCAATGGTTTTGTTGGTTCACAATTAAAAAGCATTGCCTGCTTTCTATATGTTCAGTTTCAGTGAAAGTGTATTATGTTAATTTCAGCATATGAAAATTGCCTTTAGTGAAGTTCACCCAACAAATGTGTTAACACTATTTCTGCTTGGATGCGTGATTGATGTTGGCCTTGAGGTGATGATGAGAAAGTCTTGGCAGGGAAGTGTGCGTGTGCGTGCGCGTATGTGTGTGCGCGCGTGTGCGCGTATGTGTGTGGGTCACCCAGGACATTTCACCACGGCTGCCTAAGCGCATGTTTGCTCATACTCGCCAGAAGTTGCGATGTCTCACATGCCCGAACTGCTAGTTAACACGTTGTCCTTGCGTAACGTTCATTGATGCCCACGTGCCATTTAAATACAGATACATGTATAAACAGAGTGATTCTTGTTTTGGACTGATATGATTTGAGAGCATGAACTCACCCTTTACCATTCTCTGGTTGTTATGGATGTCACGGCAGCAAGAATCATTTCAACTGCAAGTTTGTTAGAAGATTCAAATGAAAACCTTGGAACTCTTTGTCATGAGCGGCGCAGCTGCGCACTGCACCTTTGTGAAATGCGCTAACTCCTCAGTGACTACGGCTACACAGAAAGGCAAAACTGCGGACTTCTGCTTGGAAATTGTCATGGATCAAGGAGCTGAACAGTTAGAAAGCAGCACGCAATGCAAAAAGTCCCGAAACATTCATCGTGTGGACTGTTGCATTCAGAAGTTTGGAGAAGGTCAAATTTAGTTCATTTCTAAATGTACTTACCGGTACTCAGTAGGAAATCTGGGCCTGTTTTGCGAAACACAATGCTGTTATTTCATTGTAGGAAACGCAACAGCCGCATTCATAGGTTAATTGTTCCATCTGTCATCTAGTGGAAGAGCATTTCATTGTTCCACCTGTGTCCCTGCATGCAGCCGGCATTGATAAATGAACAAAGGTACATTGTTCCCAGGAAATAAATCACAATTTCCTGACCCATTAGGTGAAAGTGGATTATGTCCAAACTAATGTGCTGTGGCACATTGCTTGGGAATCACTGACCTGCGCAACCAGGTTGACGTCCATGTGACATGTGGGATGCCGTAGAGAAAGTGTCGTGGTAAATCAAGCATTGAGAAAAGTTGGTGTGAGCTCATAGTAGACAGCAAGGAAATGACCATTGAGATCAACGTAAACAACAACAAGGCACGTTCCTGAAGCATTGAGCAATGTCATCGTCAAATGACACATTAACACATGTACACGTTTTCATTATTGCACAGGACTCGGGATGCGACGCTTTTTTAAAAAATTATTTTTTTTTACATTGTGAGATTTTTAGCTCGGCCAATACATGGCAAGAATTTACTGCGCAATCTGCAGAGAGTAGCTCCTATTCCATCACTTGAAGAATTTGCTCTCTGGATTATCCCATCTTTGTGTCACGTCAGTTTTGTGGGTCAAGATGATATTTATGAAATGCATGTATCATGTTAGTGAATATTTCAAGAGAGAGTTAATGTTTTGTTGTGGATGTACTTTGTCGTGGCGTAGAACAATGGCACTGCATTGTAGAAAGGAGCTGCTCCTGATTTTTTTCCAGTGGGCTCTCATTAAGTTTCATGTTTATTCATGAGATACTAAATGGAAAATATTGAATCAAAGTGAAAAAAAATTGCGCTAAAATGAATTCTATTCTTATTGGCCGACGAGATCACCCCTTTAATCGGTCAATTCGTGTTGGTGACTTCTTAACAACACTTTCCCATTCCCAACTCTTGTACCTTCCCTGTGAACTTCCACATGGACACATGGCTGCAAGTTGTCATGGCAACGTTGTACTTGGACAAGAGGTGGACACGCAGGCACATTGTCGTGATCTTGCTGAGTCACGCACGGACACATACATGGCCGCAGGGAGGGATGAGGTTGCGCAAACGTGTGTGTGTGTGTGTGTGTGTGTGTGTGTGTGTGTGTGTCTGTCTGTCTGTGTGTGTCTGTGTGTGTGTGTCTGTCTGTCTGTGTGTGTGTTAGGGTGTTACTGTTTGTCAGGGAAGGTCAGGCGCCACAGTTTGGGTGTGACCGCCTGTGTCCTGTCAGCACATCCAGCATCCACAAAATGTCTCTCTCTTTCTTCTCCACCCTTCCTCAGAGCCAGGGTGTAACCAGGACTCCACTTGTCACTTATTCACATCTGTAACTGGCCAGGAAGGAGGGTGGGGGGGTCTCTTTTTGTGTGTTTGTGTGTGCGCGTGCGTGCCTGTATGTGTTTTCTTCTGACCGGACTCTTTATAGACTCCAAGGTTTCCCGTATAGTGACTGAAATGTGGAGCCTCAAACTCACTTTTGTGTGCGGGCCAACATTGTAGTTACTTTTTCGTCTGAGTTCCATTATGTTTGTTTGTTATCTTTAATCGTATTTTGATCTTATTACCTACGATATTCAGTACACAACAAATTGATGGATCACGAGCTGAAATCAGAAGTCCAGAATAATAGTTCAACTTTTGTTCAAGTTACTATAGTCGAAAATGCTTGCAGTAGGTCGTCATTATTACGAATGACAAATTTTTGGTGTGTAGATTTTTAGCAAGCATCATGGAAGCAGACATGTTTGCTTTGCTTTAGTGGGCCATATAAAATGATGTACCCCTGGGCCTTGAGTTTGACACCTGGGCTCAATGTGTATATATAGTACTCATACGTTTTTTTTTTTACTGTACTTAGGAGGAAGGGAGGTGGGGCACAGAGAGAGAGAGAGATTGTGAGTGACAGCAGGCTGGTTTCTTACACAATAAAGCTGTCGGTTCGTTATTTCTGAAGCTTGAGGAGGAAGCGCTACTCCCCACAGGGCGGGGAGGCAATTCAATGAGACACCACCCAGCCCATGCGCTCGCGCGCGCACGCACACACACACACACACACACACACACACACACACACACACACACAGCCATCTTTTTAAGGGTGCACCCAGCTAGAAGAATCCCGCAACCGCAAACCTAGCCTGAATTTTGCAGTTTAACCAAAAGATCCTCACTGTGACCCTCAAAAAATCCCATCAGGAGGTACTTGCCCAATGCATATTTTGCGCACGTATGACTTTTTTTTTTTTTTGTCGTTGACCATGCATTCTGCCAATTGTACTACATGTTCAAATGACTGGCATCTGATGACCGTATGGAGAAACCTCCAAAGTGGTAGCATTTGGAGTTGATCCAAAATATGTCTGCTGCCAAAAATGCCTAAAAATTCTCACCCCCCCCCAAAAAAAAAAAAAAAAAAAAAAAAAAAAAAACAACCCTGGATCTTGATATTGCAAGAGACTCAAAGCATGGTGCCACAGCAGGGTACCGGTCACGGCAAAAGGAAAAAAAATGTCACCACAGAAATGGAAATTGAACTTATTGCAAGAAAGGAAAATGGTTCATGTGTCTCTGTCCTCACAACTCAGCACAGGTACACAAATCATCAGTAATATTATTATAATAATGATGATAATAAGCAACTACCTTATTCAAATGTTTTAATCGGGGAACTAGTTGCATGCAAAGCGGACAATGCGAGTGTGATTTTGATGGCGCTAGATTTCTAGGTCATGGCAGGTTGTGCATGCTTGTTTGGGTGTATGTGCGATTGTAGTTTCGTTGGGGGTCAGACCACTTTGCAGGCTAACTATCATGTTGTTTGAACAGCAAATTGAGCTAGCGACTGCGAGCGGCGCCGGACAAAGGCCACCTGACGGGATTCCTGATTCAAATATTTGTCAAACAAGTGTCAGACAAGAAGGAAGTCCCTCTAAGAAGTCATGCAGAAACTTTCTGGTCCTGCTGGCATCACCAGCAAGACCAACAGTAAAAGCACAATAAAAACGCTTTCATTTTGTTTTTAGCTCGGGCTGTCAGGACAACTCCGAGAAATGTTAGCAGCAGGCAGTCCGAGCTGGGATTCAAACCGCTGACCCTTCTGTCACTGGATGACTTGCTCTACCAACTGAACCAGAGATTGAATTCATGTCGCTCTTACCCTGCTGGCGTAAGCTGGTGACACCAGTAAGACCAGCGTGAAAGCCAGCATATGCTCTTTTTGTGTAATTTAATCATTCTGATTTGATTTGTGAAAAAAACGAAATATAATTGACCACATTTGGACATAGGAGGTTTCCACCCGCAGTGATGAACTATATGCCGAGATATCTTTCCAATCACAGGACTACAAAACATTAAGCAAGTTAAATTTAAGATTTTTAAATTCAATTTCAAAGAAAGACCAACTTCCTAGTTTCCCCAATGCCCCATGTTGTCCAAAGTTGCTCAAGGCCATGAATGACAAGCATCTGCTCTTTCGAGTCCCGACTAAAACCACGTCACTTGTTTTTGCGAGTTTTATTGCTTCCGTTATCGTGATTGCGGGATGTTCGTCAAGTTTTGTTTATTTTTTTTTAAATATTTATTTACTTTGAGATTT